ATGAACAAGGTGTTCCCCGCGCCTGAGAGCAATACAAACTCAGAAAATAGTAGAATGATCCAACAGTAGCGTCCGAGGTGCATGAAGTCGTCCAACGTCTTCTCAGGCTTCGGCGTCGACGTCGGCATCAACGGCGACGACGTCGTCGTCTCTCCGATGGCGACGTCGTCGTCGGCCGACAAGGCTGTCGCCTGAAGCGAAGCCGTCGACGTCATTTAGGATTCTGAAATGATTTTCTCAGAGATTTCAATCCAAAGTGATTAGGCAAAACGCAGAGTTATTTCTGAAGCTCCAAAATTTGGTTATCTTTTTCACTCTCTGACGGTTTTTTTTTAAGTTTCGCAGAATTACTCAACACGGAAATATGTTCCGGATCGGAATTCTCCTTCTTTTTCAAAAGTCCCTATGAGATTAATTTTTTTCCAAAATCTGAATAGTACTGATAAAATTGTTAAAGTTTAGAAAAAAAAAAGGAATTTTAAGGCAGACGCGATACTCCAACGGAAAACCTCTTCGTGGGTCGAGATTTCGAAAAAATAAGAGCTTTTAAGCCCTTCTTTATTACGTTTTTTGAACTTCTAATATCGTAGGTGTGATAGGGATTATGAAAATCTGGAACTTTTTTTCTGATGAAAACTCTTAAGGATCAAAAAAAGTGGCCACTTTTTTTCCATAAGATATACGTCACTGAAAACGTTTTGAACGTAATTTCTTATATAAATAGGGCGACCAGAACAGTTTTACTGTTAAATAAGAACAAAATAGATGAACAAAGGAATAATGATTAACTGGAAAGGTGAAGTTCAAAGGTTGAATGGTAAGAAAAAAAAATTGTTCAAAGGGGAACTGACACTTTTTGAATGGAACGAAAGAATTGATAAATCGAAAATAGAGCAATCTTTTGAATTCATTGTATCGTTGTTGTTTTTTTCGACAACATGACCGGTTGAATTTGGTCGAATTTAAGAGAACTTCAATTCCCAGTCTTTACTGATTCCATAAAACAAGGAATAAAGGTAAAAAAATCAATTTTTTTTATTGAAAAAAACGGAAAAAAAGGTTAAGAATCGACTTTTTTTGATGAAAAAGAAAAAAATGTGTTTGTAGTCATGGGTACCGAGTACAACGAACACTCAATGATAAGAAGAGAAAAAATTAATGAGAGAAGAAAAATTACAAACGGAAAAATTGACCTTTGAACTCTGTACAAATGGGTGGTTCTATCGAAAATTCAAGCTTTGAAATGTGATATTTAGGTGATAAGGCTTGATTTTGAGATTAAGAAAATATTTGGGATTTTTATGAAAATCTAACTTGAAACTGGTTAGAGCTAATAGAGCCAGAACTGATTTTAAAACCAGTTTATTGTTTTTTTTTTTTCAAATAGTATATTTAACTTTCAACATTTTCAGACTTTAGAGTAATTTTGTACCTGCTGAATCCTGGAATATTTAAGTCAATAGTACACCAATGATAAATATAAATGAGTTAATTCAAATTAAGTTTTTATTCGTTAGTTCCCAAAAGAGGAGTGAGATCTAAATAAAAGGTACAACATGATGAAATTCGAATAGATCGAAATGAACTAGACATTAAACAACCTACCAATTAAAGGGAAAAAAAAGCAAAGTTCTACTCTGTTTTGGCTCGAAGATTTATGATGGCATTTTGAACTTATCAGTCTCGGTAACAATTAGCAACATTAATCCGTTAATTTCCGAGTTGAGAAGGGAAAATCGGTGATTTCAAAATCGAAAAAGTAAAAGGAACCAGACATAAAACAACCAACCAATCAAGGGGAAAAAATCAAAGTTTTACTCTGTTTTGGCTCGAAGATTTATGATGGCATTTTGAACTTATAATTCCCCCCCGAAAAAATATAAAGAAAAATGACCCCGATTTCAAATGGAACATAAGAATGGCTGAACGTAAGGGAAAAGGATCCAGTTCACTAGGTTTTTCGTAGTCTTGGTAACAATTAGCAAAATTAATCCGTTAATTTCCGAGTTGAGAAGGGAAAATCGGTGATTTCAAAATCGAAAAAGTAAAAGGAATCAGACATAACCAGCCAATCAAGGGGAAAAAAGGCAAAGTTCTTCTCTGTTGTGGCAAACGTTCGAAGATTTATGATGGCACTTTGAACTTATCAGTTCCTTTCTCAAGTCTGTCATTGAAGGTGAACTGATCTATGGGGCTGTTTTTCGGGACAAATATTTCGAGAAATTTTGCGAAACTAAAAGAAAGAGTGAAACATTTTGTCCAAAAAAGTCATTTGCCTAATCTTCCCGTCAGAATAATCCAACTTTTACGTTTGATTTTTGAATTTCAAAGCCAAAATGTATACAAAAGTGGAGACAAAACAATAGGAAAAGAGCAATTTTTTTCTAGATTTTTTTATTTTTTTGATCTTTTGGTCTATCATTTGATCTCTTCATTATCTCTTTAAAAAAAGTGACTTTTTTTAATTTAATATTTTCTGACTGAATATTTCAAATTTACTTTTAACCAAATCAAATGGGTGACGTCATGAACTCAAAATTTCTGGTGGTATGAAAAAAACACCAGCGAAATTTCAAACGGCGACTTCTCCGATTTTTTCGTATCGCTAGGGAACTTTCCGACGGCCACCTTTCCGAGGAAACTTTTTTTCCGACTTTTTTTCCCTTATAGTTTTCAGTTTTTTTAAAAACATCTATAAACATTTTTTTTCCCCCATTTTTTTGTGTTTTAATTATGAATAACTTGCCTACTTTATATAGGAAAAATTTAAAACGAAGATTTTATTGAGAAAAAAAGTCGGAATGGGATCCGTCGGAAAGGTGGCCGTCGGAAAGTTCCCTAAGCGATATGAAAAAAATCGGAAAAAGTCGCCGTTTGAATAGTCTTTTTTTTCATACCACCAAATTTCTTTATAAGGAAAAAAATTTTCAAACCAGTTTTTTTAGTTCATTACTAGTTTTTTTCATTTTAAAAAAAGACCTAGGCTACTTTAAACAATTTTTTTGCACAATATTTCGCTGAGCGTTCCAGGACTTTTTTTTTTGAAGGCAAACCAAAATTTGTTCTACAAGGAGGCGGTGAAATGAGTAGTCGTGGGAAAATCGGGATTTTTGGAGCTTTTTTAACGTCACGAACATCAATAAGAGTGTGGCGACCTTATTTTTGACAAATTTATGAAACAAAAATGAATGACGTCATTTTTTTCAGTTCATGGCACTCACATGGATTTAAAATTTTTAAAGTGAATTTTGACGGGGGGGGAGGGAGGAATATTTTAATTGAATATTTGATTTTTTTTTTACCCATTTTTTTTCAAATGGATGCTCTTGAACTTGTTGACTCAGAGTAATCTGAAAAAAAGGATCACGAAAAAAGCGAAAAAAATTTGCATACGTAAATATAAAAAAACAGGAGCTGGTCAAATATTGATGCTGGTCGGAAATTCATGCATCCATTGTTGAACACAAAAAAAATCCTTTTTTCGGCTTATCCTTCAAGAATCTCCACTTTCTTACTCTCAAAAAAATTTGATAATTTTTTTAATGTTAGTAATTTTTGAAGGCTTTTTCTCAAAAAAATTTTCAAAAAAATTTTACGAAATATTTTTTTGTACCAACCTGCTTTTAAGAAAAACGGTTTCGTGGTGCAATTTAAAGGAGTTTGTGAGAAAAAAAGGAAAAATAAAAAGCTTTTTTTCAAAAAGGTTTTTTTGCAAAGATTTAGTGAAGAATTTCATCCGATTTGCAGAGAAAAAAGTGATTTTTTTGATTCTGTATGAGTGTAAAAAGAAGTGATTTTAGAAATTTCAAATTTGATTTTTTTGTGTAGCGATTCTCGAGGAACCTTCAAAAAATCGGTTTTTAAACCGCGTCATAACTATAGACTCTTGTGATTTTTGCAGATTTTATCTCCGTAATCTCGTTATTCAAAGGTTTTATTGCGCACTTTAAAGTCTGTCTCGCGGAGAAAAAAGCTGTTCAGAACACTAACCTCGCTGCTGCTTTACAATACCTAGAAAGTTGAAAAAAGACCGGGTTCATATAAGAGACTTCTATGAAGCTTTGAGGATTTTTCTTGTGTTTTCGAGAAAATATTCATTTAGAGGTTTTCATCATCCAATAATTCACTTTCTAACCAATCATATTATTGATTTTGAAAAGTATTCCGTTGAAAGTTTTGAAACTTTTTCAGTCGTGAAAATGTATAGAAAAATTGAAGTGTCAATGTTAAAAAGCTCGAAATTGAAATGTTTCTCCATTTCCGTATCTCTCCGGCTTCAAAGAAAGATTCACCTGTTCTTTGAAAGTCCGATGGAGATCTGAGCATGTCCCAAAGACCGAAATGGCATTATTTTTTTTTGTTACGATAATTTCGACTTTCATTTCTTGATCATTTGTACACTGCGGATATTTTTCCGAAAGCTTTTTTTGTTTTTTGTGTTTCAAAAGTTTTTTTTCAAGGTTAGAAGAGTTCAAAAAAATTGGAACAACTTTTTTTAATCATTTGATGGTTAGTAAATTCGAACCGTTAAAAATACGGTTGATCAAGTTTCCTATTCAAAACTTCGTTTGGAACTCAAATCTTTCAAATTCTGAGAATTTATTAGACATTTCTTCTTTACAGATTTAAGTTATAACCCCGAAAATGAGCCCATTTTTGAGCACTTCTATCAATTTTTTTTAGGAAGCGATTAAAATCTATTCATATGACTCCATTTATAGCATTTTTAAATGTTTTTAAAGATAACTGTTTTTGAGGTTTAGAAAACCTTTTCTTCTTTTCATTTATTGAAAACAAACATATATTTATGTTTTAAAATTCGCTTGAAAAAAGGGTCAGATTATGTTTAAAACCCATTTTGCAAAGCTTCTCTTTAGGAATATTCTCATTCTCATTTCTTTAGTTTTACAAAGAATATTTCAAGAGGTCAGGATTTGAAAAGTTTTCATTTTTTGTTCCTTTTTGTAGTATCCATCCCAATAAAAATTGAAAAATTCAGAATGAAGCGGGAATATTTCTATGGACTCCTTGCACTTTTTTCAATATTTTTCCTCTTCACTATCGCTACGAGACCCTTTTTCTACGATGATTCAACGACAACAACAACAATATCAGGTTATACTGAATAAAATCAGAATAAAAACGATTCTTGAAGGGCTGAGGGTGGAATATCGCAATAATGAGGCGGAGATGATATTGGCGCCAGAGCAATTCATTCCTTCTGGGATCGATTTGAAGTATTCCTTGCTGGTATGAAGTTTGATCTTTCTTTTCAATCTTTGAAAAAGTGCTCATTTTTTCTTATCAAGGTTCTAAAATAAAAACTTGTTCTCCTAGCTGAAAAGAGAAAAAATTAGCAAAATTGTCCATGGAGCGCGAATCCTGAAGCCTCGGCGGCTTTTCCTTCCCCATAGCATTTTCATTGTTTCTGTCATATTTCAAAGTAGTTTTCATAATTTTTCTCGTTTTTTATTGTTTTCAGAGTTGATATATTTGAAAAGCCTTACTTGGAATGAATTCTTTCCAAGAATTGTCAATGGAGCGAAATTGGCTTGATAGACTTTTTTCAGTTCCATGAGAAGTACAACGTGGCCGCCTGTTCAGTTGAGAAAAACATGTCGGCTGTTCTTTTCGCTATCTTCTGCATTTTATTCAATCCCGACGCCTTCCGTTCCCTTCCGGTTGATAAAAGGAACATCCATGGAGGCTGGTTTAATATAAAGTGGGTACGCACATGAAATGGCTCGAAGCGTTGCGGTCGCGTCGCGGTTTGAAGCCGGCTTGACACTTTGGCTTACCTTTGAGATTTCTATATCCAAGGGCGCAAGTAGTTTTGAGTCTGGCGCGTCTGAAAATGATCCTTTCGGCTTCCCAAAAGGCTTCCTAAAAGCGTTTTACCACAAAATATTTGTTTAGAGCTTCAGTTCCTGGAAATTGTCAGAGATGTTTAACTTATAGTTGTAACACACACACAGGTAGGAGGCCAGTTTCTAGAAAATAAAAACCAGGATTCATATAAATTCATAATGATTGAGCTCCATAAAAGAAATCTTTGATCGAAAAAATATTATTCCTAATTTTTCTCACCTAACTGTATACTGAGTTAGAGAACTTTCATCATAATTTAGAAGCTGCCAACACGACGAGGACAACTTTTTCCAACACTACGCTCATCAAGAAACTCTAATCAAAGTTGAGAATTTCGAGAAGTTTGTCGTTGTTCGAGATCCACTCGAACGGTTCATCAGCGGTTTCGTCAATCAGTGTTTTGTGTGAGTTTTTTCTGACAACACGTTTTGAGAGAGATCGAACGCCCTAAAGCATCCTGACTGCAAGAAAAACATTGTAAGGCCAAAGAGTAAAGTTTAAAAACGCAAAAGCCTCTTTTTTGTGGCAATAGACTTACTAGGAAGTGTTGTAGGCTCCCAATAGGACTTCTGAATGAATGAGACTATGCTCACTAGATGTAGTTTTTCATGCTGATTCCATATCTGGTCTCAAAAATTGCCCTCAAGGCCTGTGAAAAAAGTTAGGGGCTCTTAAAAGACGAAATGTTTTTTGAGCCCATCTTTTGAAGGTTTCCCTGGTCACGAAAGATCATTAAATCTTTTCCTTGGTATTTTTTTCACAAATCTTTTTAAAACAAATTTGAAATATATAAAAAGCCTCTTTTTAAGCTCTCAAAAACTTGTTGAACTTAAAATCTTGGTAATGAAGATGTTACGATAAAAAAATGTGATATAACTTTTTAATATACCAATTTTGGTTTCTTTTCTTTTTTTCTCGGAAGAAAAAAATAAACTTTTAATTATAAACTTTGAGGCGTAAAACTCGAATAAAAGTGGAAATCCGAGAAAAATTCCTTTTTCAGTCGGATTCAGAGAGTTCTTCGTCTAGCCGATTCTCGTACCTATTTATGGCAACAAGTTGTTTTTCCAGGAACTATCACAGAGGGAACAAAGTTGTATGCTACGGTTGTGAAGGAGATCTGAAATGCGTTCTGGAATGGCTGATGGCCCGGCTGCAGGCATTCTCCCAGTCGACCATCCAGAGGGGATCCAGGGACTTCTACACGGAGCACTTGATGCCTTTCACTTGGTTTCTTTTTTCTTCAGATGTTGAAAAATCTTGAAAACAAAGTCCATTCCATGCTAGCTTTCCATGTTTTTTCTATGCAAAATATCGTATACCATTAGATGGCAGGTATCGAAGCGGAACGCGCCAAAAATGTTTGAATTCACTCCAAAATTCCTCAGAAGGGCTGAAAGATAAACTTGAAACTAGAGATCAACAGTACCCTGAAGAAAGGACAGAGAATTCTGAAAATATTTTTCTCTGGCGTCTCTAGTCTGACCCTGATCTTTTCATTTCAACCCTTCTTTTTTTTGGAGCGAAAAACGCTAAAAAGCTTGGATTACTGTATTTTTGATCCTTTTTCAGATATGTTCGAATTCAGTACGAAATTGCTTGAAAATGCTGAAAAATGAACTTGAACGAGATATCAACAGCACCCTGAAGAGACGACAGAGAAAATGAGAATATTTTTCTCTGGTGTCTCTAGTCTGACCCTGATCTCTCGCTTCTTCATTTCAACCCTTCTTTCCGAACGTTTTTTTTTTCTTAATATTCAAAATTAGAGGCCTGAAGAGACGACAGGAATGTAAGATAATGTAATTTTTTCTAGCGTCTCTTGATTTCAATGTCTCGCTATTTCTCTCAAGTTTTTTGGACTTTTCCATTGAACAGGTCATAGAGAAGGGTTTTTTCCATACTTTTTTTTAAAATTTTCTGCACCCTTTCTATCATTTTCCCACTTTCAGGCATTGTGAGTTTGCCAAACGCAACGAGGCGTTTCGCCGGATACAGTTCAATGAAGAAAATCCATCGGAAACTGTTGAAGAAGTGCTGGAAATCTTGGAAAAAGCCAGTGTCGAACCGAGGATCTTAAAGTTGTTGAGAGAATCGACAGTTGGTAAGATTTTTAGGAGTTTTTGAAGGAAAGGGTTAAAAACAAGGTTGTTAATCAATCCATTCCGAAATCAAGTTTAATATTTTCAGCTGTTTGAGTTTGAAAATTTGTCACAAAAATGAACCCACATAAAACTCGTTCACAGACAAAATTCACCGTTTTTTTTTGGTCTGGCGCCTTTAAATTGGAACATTTTAAAGGCCTTTTTCGTTATTTCGTAACGCTTTGGTTAGAGTACTTTACGAAATCTTGAAATTCAACCTCGTCAAAAATAAATGAACTATGATTATCAGGAAAAATGATCATTCACACGACTGGCGGCTCCTCGGACCGGGATCGGTTCAAAAATCAGCTTCTCAGGGACCCCTACCTTCTCTACCTGTTCAGAAGGATATTCTACAGGGATTATGAACATCTTGGATTCAGTATGGATGTTTTTGAGCCTCTGAAAACGGCTAAAATATCTTTTGATAATGCTACGACCTATTGGAAGTATTGTTGTTAGTTGGTGATGAACTATTGATTCGATATATTTTTTTCACTGAATATTTTGTCATAGTCTGTTCATCGCTATCTTGATATCCTTAGGTTTTTTTAATATCTGTATAAATATCTTGTTTTCTCACACTCTCTCGTCTTTCATGACTTTTGTGATGCTTATTTATTGATTTTTTTTTTCGTTCATTTCTCCTCTATGTTATATAGTCGATTTATAACAGCTTCACGGAGAAATTAAAGGCACAGGACACTGGAAAAAAAGCGCTTCGTCTCGAAATTAAATTTTTTTATTTTCTTATGCTTCTGAATTGCAGCTTTAGGGATTGAACTAGGAGACATATTTTTTTAAGATACATTTTTTTAAAAAAACTTCATTTGAGGCATTGGAAGTTTTTTTCTTGACCTTAAAGCACTGAAATGCCTCTTCTTTTCGAAAAATGTTAATGAAAAGTATCCTTGCGCCTTTAGAACAACCTTTATGCTCCTTTAAAGAAATGTCCATTTTCCTGAATTTCGATTCGTTTCCTGGTATTTTCAACGCTCGATTTTTTTTTGAATAAAGTTTCATATCGTTTTCCATTCAATTCTGAAAAACTGGATCATTTTTCCATTTAATATACTTCCTTCTAGAAAGCCTTTTTTTCCAGGAAACAAAACTCGCTAATAACAAGGTTCAGACGCGAGAAAACCGTTTTTGGGTGGAAACGATTTATTTTTGGAACCGTTTCAAGATCTCGTGATTTTTGGAGTTGTACGCGTCGGGTACAAAAGTGCGACCAGATGACGCGAAACTCGATGACCTGAGAAAGGTGAGCGAAAGTGATATTTGATGAGAGTTTCGTTGGTTTATCAAAAGAATGGCTTGTTGGGACGTAGGAAGCGCAGAGGTTAATATAAGGTTGGAAAAAGTGAGGCACTATATATATTTGTAAAATTCGGGCAGCGATGCTTAGATCCATTCTAAATGCGGCCAGAAGTTTTTCAAGCCGCTAACATTTTTTTTTTTCGGAATCGCTCAAAACGTAGCGTTTCTGACGCCAAAGTTTCAAATTTGATCACCATGAAACATTTAATTAATTATATTCCAAGTAAGCGTGAGTAGTTTAAGGTCGGATGCTGAAAAACTGTTGAGACTCGGAAAAGATCAAAAATTTTGAAGTCGAAAGATCCTGACAAGCTTTCTTTACGCCAACCAGTATTATTTTTCGATTCCTTCTTCTTATTTCAAATTTCAACGTTATCATCCTTTTCGGTCACCCTTCGTCGACCATTTGTTTTTACCACGTGGCGATTTATAAAACAGAAGGGAAAGGGGAACATATTTTCCCGTTTTTTCTCGCCTCGTGTTGATCATCCGATGTCTTCTTTTGGAATTCTCCGGGGTTTCCTTGACACGAATCAACTAGACGAAACGTTTCGAATAACAGAAAGTGTTTGGCGAGGAGTTCAGAGACGGATTCAGAAGTTCAAACCATCAAAAAGACAGATTTTTTGAAATATTTTTAGGAAAAAAGTTGAAATTTGTTGAAAAAGGGCTTGTATGCTGAAAAGAGTTGAAGAAAGTTTTGTCGCACTTGAAATGGCTTGAAGCGTCGCGGCCGCGTTGCGGCTTGCTCTCCTATTTTCTGATGCTATCGCGCGCAAGTCGTTTTGAGTCGGACGCCATTCAGGTCTTCAAATTGCGATAATGGGCTTAGAGATGAAGTTTCAAAAGTAAGAAAAATATTTTTGGTTGCAGAACTTTTGCTTTTTTTTTCAAACTAATCAAAACACAACACCCTACAGTATGCAAAGACTTTGTGGCTCTATTTTCGACCCTTTTTCTGATAGTTTTCGTAATTCCGATTTCTAAAACCTATTTCTCAATATTCAAGACTGATAGTTCGTTTCTGGAAAAGGAGATTTCATCAGCCAAAACTTCCAAAAGAATCTACCAGAACAATGTCCAGCCTCATCAATCATCCTGCAATTTCCGTTCCAAATCAATTTTCTTCTTTTCCTTCTTTGAAGATACGAAGATTCGTTTTTTGATGTCGCAATTTTGCAGAAGATTTTTGTGGTCGGATGGAAGAATTGAGAACCAAATACACAATGGTTCGTGTTCAGTAAGAGAATAGAAAAGACAAAAATAACTGTTTGGGGAATTTCGAAGCCTTTTTTGAAGTTATAGTTTCAACTTTTCAACAACAAAATCACTCAAAAAAAGTTTTTGAAAGCTGGAAAGCAGTTGGAGGGTTAAAAATGAATGCATATGAAGTTAAATCAAGCTTCCAATAAAATCAGAAAACGAATATATGCCCGAAAAACTGTCAATATGAAAGTTTGGGTACAGGAATCTTGTGTAGAATTGAAGAAGAGACACTGAGCGGCCTGAAGAGACAGCAGAGAAACAGAAAATATATGACTTCTCTGGATTCTCTTCAAGGCGTCGTTGATATCTCGTTTTTGAGTTTTTGAGCACTTCTTTTAATTCAAGATGCGAAAAAGATTTATTTCCATTGTTGGATTATTTTTCTTTAAGATAGAGACTTTTCACATTCCTGATGAATGAAGTTTGAAGTAGGATTTTTTTTAGGGTTTTAAAATTTTTCAAAAGGTCCTCACTTTCGGTTTCCATGCATTTCTTCTACGTTGCTTATCGGGAATTTTTTTCCAACCTTCCTTCTCTTCCTCATTTTCTCTAGGACAAAGATCAAATCTTACGCACCTCCGTGGAGTGATCTTTGAGAATCCCTTCAATTTTTCAAATTGTGAAGAAGATGAATAGCAAATTCAACTCTTCACCTTCAAAAGTTGTCTGCGCAGTGATAAGACGCCGAGAAAAGACGACATGACCGTCGACGGCGACCGATCCGTCAATCATTTTGGGAAAAGATGGCCCCAAAAATAGGCATCTCACTCCCTTGAAGACGGGAAAAAAAATGATGGAAAACACCGCCTCTCCATCGTTACAGCCAAACGAATGTACCCGAATCATTTTACATCATTGGCCGTGTCTTTGAATGTCGTTCTTGTCTTACTGTACTTCTACTCGGGTTTGGTTGAAGATGGTTTTGACTTAACTTGAACCTTGTAAGATCTTGATTTTCTTGGTCTTCAAGGACTTGATCGTCTTGAATCTTGAATCTTCTAGTCTAAAAGTCTCTGTACGGTCAGGAGCAATCATAAAAAATAGTTTGTTTCTCCTTCGAAGGTCCTGTGAGCTAGAGCTGTTTCTAGAACCTACCCTGGGTTAGGTTGACTTTACTTCAGATTGAACGAGGGAAACTTTAGTTTAGTGGTATTTTATCTACAAAAACTGAACTTTTCCGAGAGTTAGACTAGAAAAACGTTTAGTCAAACAGTTGTTCCACAAGGAAAGATCCATTTTGTTTCCTCCTGAAACTTTCAAAAATGAACTGAGTCTTTTAATGATCTTTAAGGACTTCTGGGATGCCTCAAGTTCTCGGTTTTTGGGCTTCAGACTTATTTGAACCTAGCTTCAGGTAAAGAAACATGAACTAGGGCACCAATTGGCTGTTCTTGTAACTTCAAGAGAAGCTTCGAAGAATTGAATGGCTTGATTATCTTACTATGAACCACTAACATTGCAAAGAAATGACTATTTTATTGAAAATGAGATATTATCTTCTGGTTTCCTTGGAAATCACAGTAGAAATCAGATCCTTCAACTGAGAAAATAATATTGATAACCTTTTCAAAAAAGTTTTTTTTTTGATTTTTTTTTCCTTTTGATTTCCTGCGAGCATGCAGCTCCTTTCTCATTCATTTTATAAGCCGTTTTTTGCTTTAATTTTTTTTTTTCATTTTTCCGATTTTTTCCAAAGCGTTTCGAGTTTTCAATTTGCTGTCACATCTCTCCTAATTATTTCTCATTCCAGGATTGATTTCTCGACGATGCGGTCAATTATAATCTTCACTTCTTTGATAATCCTGGCCCAGGCCAGCCCATTATTTCGGTACTTTGACGGCGCCGACGCCATGGGTAACATTGAAAAAAAATACATTCGAATAGTAAATTATTTCAGAATCTTCCGAGTTCAGTGAACCCATTTCTAGGCCAGCGATCAGACGAGAAAGGTTCGAAATGGATATTTAAGAGAAATATTCTCAATATTTAAATTTCAGATATCTGGTCGACACAAAAGCAGAAGATATCAGTCTTCTGGAAAGTGATGAAAAGGAAGATCGCAGTCGTCCTGAGGGACACGAGGTAGGAATACGAAGAATTTGGCGGCATGTAAAATGGTTCAATGCGTCGCGGTCGCGCGGCGATTAAAGTTAAACATTTAGAATGATGACTGGTTTCAACTCAATATAAACTTATTAAGAGAAAAAATTATATCTCAAAATTTTAGCAACACCGTTTTTTTGAGTTCATTTTCATCTTCAAAAATATGAAAAATCTAGAAAAAGTGATTTTTTTTAACTTTGAGCGTTCATAACTTGCTTCGAAGATATGTTTAACAGTCTTTAAAATTAGATCCAGAATCAGCTTGAAAAAATTCATCGATTAGTTTTCTATAAGCTGAAAACATTTTCCGACAAGCTTTCAATGTCGAAGCGCGTAAGCCGTTTACGGTCTGCCGCAGCCTCCTAGTGACCGCAACGCGTCAAGCCATTCCATGTGCGACCAAAAAAAGCATGGAATGGATCAAAGCTTGACATTTGCGTTGTCTTGAGCGCTTGAGAACGAAATTATCCCTCTCTCGATGGCTATAGCTGCACCCGACTTTGGGCGACTTTCCTTTCATGTTATGAGATGCCACCGCGCGAAAGTAGCATTTAGAAGCTTCTAGCCTTCCTCTGTGACAAGAAGTCAAAATAAGAAGTATTTTTACACATGAATAAATTTACAGGAAGGCGAGAGAATCATCCGCGACAGTGCATTCCTCTACAAACTCGCCCCACGGCACATCAAGATCCTCGAAACGTTGAGAAAACCAATTTATTTGCTCTAGATTCGGATTCCCGTTGTAACTAGTTGTGAATAACGTCTGATCTCATTTCACTTACCAAGAAATGTCATATCATTTTAATAATTCAACCGAAAAGCGAGCAATGAATATTTTCCATGGCATTTTGTTTTTGGTTTTTCGAAGGTGAACCTTAACTTGGAAGTTTGAGAGTGATTGAACTGAAAAAAATATGACTTTTAAAGAAATTGCAATGAATTATTGGACCTTGTAAAGAAGTATGAGAATTTTTTTCGAGTCCCAAGATTCAAAAATTCGTGGAATTTTTAAGAAAACATTTTGTGAAAAAAAAGGAGTTGTGTGCAATTATTAAATGGCCGATGTTAATTTTTTTAAAAAAACCCGCATAAGTTTTTTTCATTTTTTTCACGATCTGAATTTATAACTTGAGTATCTAAATGATTCTACCGGATTTATAATTATTCCTACTTACTTTATTTTCAACTTTTCCAAGTGTGACAATTTTTTTGAATTCAAGAAACTTTGAAACGAATTTCGGAACATGCAACAAATTCCGATTTTTATCATTTATTTTCTTTGATCCTGTAGTATGGTCTCATCTGAAACCCCATTTTTTTGTTGACCAAATTTCTATAAGTGAAGTACAATGGCCCAATCAAGTCTTTTTTTCGATTTCTCGAAAATAAAGAAAAAAAGTGAGCAAATACAGTTCTGCCCAAAAGGCTGTGAACTTTTTTTGGACCTAACTTTTCCTTAAGTAGAGATATCAATCTGAAAATTTTTGCAGGGCATTTTGTGCGATTAAAATACATACCCACAAAACTTCATAGAAAAATATTTAAAAAAAATTTGTGTCATTTTTTCGAAATTTTGTAAAATACGATTTTCCCGGATGTTAAATTCAATCCACAATTTTTGTAAATAACAAGATTTATTGGAGAAGTCAATGTGTATATAAGTTATACAAGTCTAATACTTGGTCGCGAAATCCTGAGAACTAATCAAAAATAGGTAAAAAACAACTTCAGGATTGATTCACCATTGCAAGGAAATTTTTAAAAACGGTTCTTCAGAAGAAATTTCACTGCACTTTTCCAATTTTAAACATAATTTATATTAATCAAAAACCTATCACTTGAGTTCTGGCCTTTATTCCATCGGTTCTTCTGCAACCTAATCTTTCTGTTTTCCTTGTTTTCCAAGACAAAAGTCGTGCCATCTTTGGAGGACAATGTGTAACGAATGGGAACGGAAGTCGAAGATATTTTTAGCGAGATCAAACATGTTCCAAAACAGCTGTAAATCTATCAACGACTGGACAATTTGATTACCTTTGGGAGAATTTTACATTCGTCTTGCAGAAATGAGATCAATTTTGCAGACCGAGAAGTGCTGAGAAAGGTCCATTTTTGGAAATGGTTTTTTCAAAATTCAAAAGGAAAAAAAATATCTGTCATTTTTGAAGGAAACTAACACAGAAAAGTCGGTTCCAATAAAAAAAAGTCCTATTTTTTCACACCTTTTTTGATTTTTTATACGCCTGACCACCTAGTGAAAGAAATTTTTTTAAAAAGATTGAACTTTCAAAAAAATTATTATTTTCCAGAAAAAAATAGGTTCGAACTAACGAATCGACCATACTTCTAGATCTCAGCTATTTTTCGGAACTTTGAGATCGACCGTATTTTGAGCCATTCCCCGTGCGACCACCGCGTTCCGATTCGGATTTTTTTCGTTGCAAAAAGCCATTTTCTCGATTCTGTAGATTTCCGCGAACGATAGTCGTTTCAAAATGATCAAGAACGCTTCACGAAAAAAAAAAGTAGTTTTTCTTTTTTTCTTTGTAGAAAAAAGACTACCAATGGAACCAATTTATTTACACGACTTATTAAATTTGAACTTGAGAATCCGGAAAAAAAAGGTTTTTTCATAAGAATTTCCTCGCAAGATCACCGTCTTGTCTCATGAATGCGTGCTCTTCCGAATAAGCGATTTGGAATTTTTTTCGAATTGCGATCGTAGAACCAGCTCTGAAACAATTTTTTTATTTCTATAATTCTGCTAGAATTTTTCTTTTTTTTTCATTAATTTTTTTAGAAAAATTTGTAACCCATCCGGCTTTCATTTAATCGTACCAAGTGTACCGGTTTTTTTGAAAAACATGAGATCAAGTGCGGAAAATGGATGCACAAAGGGATTGACTACAAAATGGCCGCTAAGAGGGTTCCGTTTTGCGGCCATTATTGAGCCTTTCTTGGTGGGCTAAAAAGCCTCAAAAAGGGTGCAAAAAGGGTGAAGAAAGGCTTTGAGAAGGCAGGATAACAAAAAAATCTCAAAAGGGTCCAAAAAGGGAGGATGAAGGCTGATGAAAGGACGGAAAAAGGCAGTAAAAAGGAACCGTTGCCACCCGTTTAGGAAAAATTAATGCGAACAGAATTCCGACTTTGCATATTCCTATTATTAATTTTGGGATGCAAGTGAACAAAATCAGCGACTTAAGCTTGTAGAATTTAAGATGGAGAAAATTTCAAATTTTTTTTTGAGATTCCCTTCAGAATTAAAACTAGAACAAACCTCTCTCTTTCTTCAAATCCACATCGTTGACACTTCGTAGACCGCTAAGCGGGTCGAATAATCGATCGGCTCTGGTCAGTTCAGACCTCGAAGTGATTCCCGAGTCGACTAGAGACGTTTTTTGAGAAAATGCATCCAAAATACACATCGCCAACAGGAACAGGACTGCCGATAGGGCGATAATCACGTAGGTTTTCAGCTCGGACATCTGGAAAAAGTTGTCTTGATTTTGACAGATCTTAAGAGAGCATATTGGAACATGAAATGAGAAGGATTGGTTTGAGAGCTCGATGAAAAAATTATAATACAGTTTCAAACAAAAAAAAAAGAAAAGTCATGAAAAGTTATAGAAAAAAAAAGATTCGGTTAAAGTTGGATTTTGTAGGAATGAAAATGTGAAAATTTTCAAATTTACAAAGGAAAAAAAAAACGAAAAAAAGCAAAAATAATTCGAAAAGCTGCGGTTGTGACCTCCTTTGCAATAAGTATATTATATATAAGTTTGAAGGCTTATTTTAAAAAGCATTTCTTTTTTTCATAATCTGGCCGATTTTTCAGAAAAAAATTAACGAAAAAGTTTTTTTGAGAGGATATTTGAACAGTTCAAAAATTAGGTTATTCATATCTTTTTAAGAAAAAGTTCCGATTCGAGAAAAAAAGGAAAAACTCATTAAAAATATCAGAAAAATCAGAAGATACATCGTCAAGAATCCAACAGAGATTATAATCCTATTCAAAGTCCTTTTTTTAATTTCTCAACTTTTTTTAGGTTATCAAATCAAATAAAATATGTACAAACCTCTCCAAGCATTTTGCCAAATTTTCCAGAAAATTAAGCGCAAAACAGAAACAAAGAAGAGAAACCAATAGGTTAAGCGAAAAGGTTATCTGACGGTTTGATCTCCAAGACGTCGGGGAGATCCAACAAACGTGGAACACTGCCCTGGTTTTCTCGACTTTAAGAAAAGCTTTCCCCCTCTCAAAAGTCAACTTTTGTAATCTGTTGTAATAATATTTCTCGTTCCAGGTGTTTTTTGGAGATTCTCCTTGTCTTGGAGGTCTGGAAAAATTAAAAAAAGAGGATGTTTTTTTATCTTTCGAATGAAGTAAAGACTGTCTATTAAATGCTCATAAAGCAGGATTTTTGAAATGAGTTTTCCCTTTTTCTTTTTCTCAAAAGTATTTTTTTGTATCATTCATTTAAATTTCAAAAAAATCTCAAGAGAAAATTGAGAAAAAAAGGATAGAGTTTAGTAGAAAAGATGTTTTTTTTTCGAGTTTTCAGAAATAATTCGTTTTTCTAACCTGTTGCTTGATGTTCTTGGAAGGCTTGGTGTCACTTTTCCGTGAATTTTGTATTTCCTAACACTCAGCAAACTCGCTTAAACTATAAACAAAAGAAAGAAAAAAAAAGCGAAAAAAAACGCCGATAAAAAAATTTCTGAGAACTCCAATAACTTCCATTCTCCTGAGCCTTTTCGGAAAACTTGTCGATAGCTAGCAAAAAAATGTTGTTTCAAAAATAACAAAGTTCCTCAATTCTAAAAACCAACAAAGGGTTCAGGGTGGTATTCAAAAACAAAAAAGACTTCGAGGAGCTTTTCCAACTTTTTTTTTTCCAAAATTAGCAATCAATCTGATGTTTTTTGTGTTGGCTCTAGCCTTTCCTCAATTTTCTATAACACATTTAAAAGTCGCTCTGTTGGATACACTTGAAACTGTGATCCAACCAAGCTGCGACTGAAAAATCCACACCTTGGGCCTTCATCAAGATCCGAAGTTGCTTGTCTTTGTAGACCGGCCTTTTTCGATCTTTATCTCCATATTTTCAGTCTGCAAAAAAAGAATGAGTCACTGTGATCACTGATGCTTGAGTATTTTGTTTCACTGATTTTTTTGAATTTGATCCGCTTTATTCAGAACAAGTCACATGTTGATCTTATTACGCGAACCAAATAATATAATAAAGCTTATATATAATAGGTCGAATTTTTTCACCGCATAACCTATAATTCGGAAGCAAAAAAAGATTTTTTTTTTCATCAAATTTTTGTTCTAAAGGGCCGAAATCTTCTCGTTATATATTTTCCTTAATTTTTCCGAAATTTCCTTTCTCAGCGTTTAGAATCACAAGAATCGAGACGTTTCTGGCGTTACCGCGCTACTCCCTGATGGAAATGAAGATGCGATTCATGTAGATAAAGTTTGAAAACTGCATTTTAAAAAAAAGGAAACCGAAAGTAAGGTTCCGAAAACAAAACGTTTCATAGGAAGATTGAAAAAAACTACCGGTCAGTTTAAGGTACCTGCAAAGGAAGCTTCTGAACATGATATTCATTCATTCATTTCAAGTATTCTCCATTCCGCAATCTGCACGACAAGTACAAAAAATAAAACATCAAAACGATCAAATAAATCTAACAGCTGATCTGTGGAAACGGCTGGAGGAAAAGATTGTCTGAATAGACGGTGCTAACCCCCATTTGGTATTTAAGTTTGTTCTTTGTTTTTTAAGTAGTTAGCATTTTTATATTATTTAGTTATGTGAGTGATTTATATTTTGAGTAAGAATGATAGAATATAAATTTTAGTAGGATCTATTGAATTTAAAAACGATTTGTTTGATTCGAACCATGAGGTGAGCATAATCCGAAACTATATTTACAGCTATGTATCAAAATAAAACGTATAAGTTCGGAAACTTCATTTCATTTCTGTGACACGGCATTATAAACATTCAAAAGTTATTAATTCAAAGGTAATCAATACATAAATCTTAGAGGTAGAAATATGTGGAGGTAGACACAAAAAAGCGAGAAAATCTCCGTCAAGTATCTCTTTCCTATCATTAACATGGTAAATAATCGAAAAAGCAACAAAAAAGGTAGTTTCAATTGAACCTCTATCATATTATTATCAGGAAAAAATTAACTAACGGTTATGATAAAAAAAAATATGTCGAAATACCAAAAAAGGACATTTCATCAAACAGTCCTTTTTCGTACGGTAACAGTTTGGGCTTCTGTACTCGATGCGATTGAATTTTCGTTTCTCTTTCTGAATGCTCGGAAGAAGATTTTGCGGAAATCGGAAACGATGAAAATCACGGCCAAAGCGTCGCAAAGCGGGAATGAACTGAACAAGGGGACCGTGTAGTAGTTGTTGAACCTGGAAAATCAATCGATCAATTGGAAAGGTAGAAATGCTACCTTCCAATATTGATGCCCATAAAAGGCGTGAACCAGGTGAAGAAACAAGGGAATAGAGTTATAACCACTGGGACCGTGGTCTGAACCACAAGGGCTATGAAAAGCTGCCTTTGAAGTTTGCGAGCAGCAGTGCTGATGGTGCTTTTTTCGAGGTGGGTGGTGATCTGAAAATAGGAGGTGCTTCAAAAAGTTTAATAACTGAACTTTGGAAAATTTTCTAATTTCTAGCGGGCTCTTTTCACTCTAGAGTGTGAATAAGCTGTAATTTTTCTGATATGAGATAAAATCTCAAAATTGAGCTCATCCTAATTCTATTCTGGGAAAATTTTTAGTGGCCACTATAGGGTTTTGACGTTTTAGTGGCCACTATAGTAGTCAAATTAGTGGTCACTATAGAGGTCCAAGTGCTACTACTAGACCACTAGAAATTTTAGTGGCCACTTAAGGGGTCAATGGATCAACATAACTGGTCCAATCTGTTTGTTTTGAAATTATCAGAGTTACTGGAAGGAATACTGGATGAAAAACTACTGAAGTGGCCAATAAATAGAAAAACTCTATAGTGGCCACTGAAACGGGAACTAGTGGCCTCTTTAGTGACCTCTCCAAGTAGCCCTTGGCGAGCCTCTATAGTGGCCACCTAACTTTTTCCCAGTTAGATTTGATTATTTTGAAAACTAGAAGCTCTAGCAGTACCAAAACCCTGCTTTGTACAGTTTTCTCGACTTTCTAGATCCTAAACTGGGCTTTACTCATATTTTTACCATATTCTTTTTCAAGCCCTAGGTTTCTCACGAAAATTCGGTGTTAGCCTTATTCATTTCAAATATATTCTGGACTGATCTTTTCAAGATTTAGCGGATCAAAGTTTTGAGATAATCCCTGGCGAAGTTCTTCTTAAAAGTTACGAGCATATTGGGTGAGAAATGACGTCATTAAGCTCTCCTGTCTCTAGTTATTCTTATTTTTACTCATCTTTGACTAATCATGACTGACTATTTTGAAGATAATCAGAACAAATTTTGATTGATAGAACGTAGGTAGAAGAATATTTTATGAAATTAAGATAACAAAAGTTCAAAAAAGTTTCAGATTTTTTTTTCCTTATTTTCTGTGAATCAATTAATATCATTAATAATTCTATAGATTTCCTCAAGCTATTCATGTAAAAGTGATACCTTATATCCAAGAACAATATAAGTAACAACAGCGACGACGGACGGAAACGCTGTCGTGGCCAAACATCCCCAACTCTTCAGAACCGTCGATCCAAGAATTGACTGCAATTTTTTCAAAAATGACTTTTTCGTTTCTAAAATCTCACTCCCAGATCCATGGTCGACATGACCACCTCAGAAACATCGGTTTGATAAATTTCTCGGAAATCTTCTCTCAATAGCTCTCTAGTTTGCGGTAGGTCGTAGAGAAACCAGACTCCGAGCTCCCAACTGATTCCGTGGGAGAGAACCAACATGAAGGAGCAGAATATGTAGAGGGGTTCGGCAAAGAAATGTTCCAGGGTTGGCCTGAGAAATCTTCTCAATGAGGATACCTATTTTTGAGCTCTTACTTGCACAAGACCACGTAACGGTAAATGAAGTGGAGTTGAAGAACCCCGTAACTCAGGCCAATGAAAGCACAACGTGTGATAAAGGCTCCAGCAGCCAGGGAGGTCTGAAAGTTCAATAAAGGTCAGACAATGATTTTCGAAGATTTTCGGCTTTTTTTTGAAGTTCAAACGAAAGAATAGTGTTTGCGGAACGTTTTAGATCAATTTTCTGAAAGTAGCTGCTACGTTTGTCCAAAAAGATTCTCTCTGAGTCCTGACAACGCGCAAGTCGCGAAAAGTCGGGTGCAAGCCATTCCCTATGGGACCGTGATAATTGAAAATTTTCTACACACCTAACTCTGGAGCCTTACTTGGACTATTTAAGACTGAAAAGTAGGAACGAGAGAACAATGGTTTTAGAAGAGAGGCCAGAGAAAGAGAGAATCCCTGACTTCTCTGGAGTCTCTTCACTCCGCCTCAGTTCTCTCGCTTTTTTTTTGAATCTACATATTTCTCCATTAACTCGAATTGTAAAGCTTAATGCATGAAAAAAGATGCTGTTGAACCGTAATAAGGTCGAGATACTCTGAGCCATTCCAAATGCGACCAACTTTTTCAAAAAATAAACCACTTACACCAGCCAATAAGCCACCACGCATGAAACAGCAGACTACCGATCTTTTCTGATGGAGTGCCTAAAATAATTTTTTTTTACTTTTAAAAAAGTCAAACCAACCATTCCAGCCATGAAATCCATAATCGAGTATAGAATATCGAAACAACAGAAACTAGTGAGCAGGTTACTGTAGGTCTTGGTCATTCTCTTCTTTTTACTCGATTTCCAAATGACTCGGATCAAAATAGGGTTCAAAACCAGTGAGGCGCCGGATAATATATTACACATCCATTTTGGAATCTCGCCAACGTCCACAGCGGCCATTTTGAAAAAAAAAAAGACCTGCAAAAGTCATAAATTGGGGAGAATTACGTTTGTTATTGCAGCGAGTTCAAAAAAGCTACAATTTGACAAAATATAAGGGACTGAAAATCAAAACAAAACGAAGAAAAGTGGAGTTTTTCCTTGTTTGAGTCATCGGAACAGGCTACATTTTAGTAGTTACTTTAGGGTTTTGAGCTTTTGAAGGTACCTGAAGTTACCTGGTAAGAAAAAAGAACAAAGAAATGAAAAAAAAGCTCAAGCTATGGGTCCTGACACGATAATGCACGAGAGAGTGCCTGGTTCGTGGAGAGCGCAGACAGGCCACGCCCCCTTAGTTAGCCGTGAATCAGCTATATAGTCTGTTCAGATTTTGAATGTCAAGTAGAATGACGTCATTCGAAAACGCTCTGTGGATGGCTCGCTCTCTGGTTGGTTTATCGCGCCATTAGGGGGCGGAGCTTCAGCGAGAACTTGACATTCACAATCTGAATAGATCATATCTGAAAAGCTGGAAAAGCTTAAGGGGTCCTTATAGGGTTTTGAGCTCAAAGTTACTTCTGAAAAGGCTAGGCAAGACTTAAGTGGTCACTGTAGTATTTAAAGGATTTTAAAAAGCTAAAATTTGAGAATATCCAGCTTTTCGGGTCTTCATGTTCAACTTTTTTTGGAAATGAAAATTTTCGAAAGTTAAAGTAACTCAAGAATAATATACTTTCTATAAAATACTTGAAATTCGAGGATAAAATCTCGACATGACTTTTTGTTCTTATAGGATCGCTTAAGAGAGTATTTTTACACGGCAAACCCCAGTTTTTATGAGAAAACGGGAAGTGTAGAGTTCTAACGAAAAAAGATGTTTTATTTTCTTCAAAAAGCATCATAATTATTCTGGTCTATTAGCTCCTATTCTGGTTTTTGAAAATCTTTATTTTTTGCAAAAAAGGTTGTTAATTATTCTCGTGGGACTTTTTGAAAGATTTTCTGTCTTTTTTTGTCAAAATTGATTCTTGGTTGTTCTGCTAGTGCCTAGATATGAAATATATTCTTTTTTCTTTTTTTTTCTGATTTATAACGTGTTCTTAGTATCCCGTAGTGTAAAATTAAAAGTATTTCGGATTTGGAGATTTGGTTTACAAAAATGAGCTTCTTGATTTTTTTCTTCGTAAAAGTCAGCCTCAAAAAGGTTGAAAATTGAAAGCGAGAGATTCCCGCCGCTGTGAAGAGACGCCAGAGAAGCTAGCTTTTTTTATCTTTCTCTGGTGTCTCTTCACGTCTCCACTGCTTTTTTTCCTCGTCTCTCTCGTTTTCTAACGCCCAATTTTATAAAAAAATAAAATTATACTCAAAAGTATAATTTTGAAAAAGAATAAAGCGAGAGACCAATAAAAACCTGAAGAAACGACAGAGAAAAATAGAAAATCTGACTTCTTTGGCCTCTCTCTCGGCGGTTTCTGGCTCTCAATTTAGCTTTTCTTCGCTCTCAATTGTACGTAAAAAAAAACTGATGGGAAAAAGGAATGTGAGATTCTGGTTTTTTTTTCAAAAAAAGGAGGAGTCTTTTTAAAGCCAGGAGGAGACGAAGTGCAAACGAGAACCTTTCTAACTAAAAATGACTTCATCAGCTTTCGAAATTCAAGAGCACACATCTTGCCAGTTTTGCGAAAATGAATAAGCGCCTTGTGGAGCAAAATATTATGCTTTTTGAAGAGTTTTTTCAAAAAAAGCTGCAAGGCTTCGAAGAAAAACACTGAAGCGTATCTTCACGGTACGTTGAGCTTTCGAAACTAATCAAAATTTTGATGACGCCTGGAAAATAAGATAACATGAACAGAAATATGTTCCAAAATAACATTGAGTCATCCAAAAAAGAGAACACGAATTTTCCACTTGACTACAAAAAAAAATATGGGAATGAAAAGTCCCACGTTTTTTCTCAATGGTGAAATCAAGAGTATTGGAGTTTTCTCAGAAATCGCCTTTAGAAATTCTGTTCGGAAGAAGTGTATTCAGTTGAAGGAGTATGAAGGATAATTTGAAGATTCTTCATTTTCTACGAATTTGAGTTAAAGGTCGCACGGGGAATGAGTAAAAGCTGCGATTATTGATGCCTCCATGGGTAAGTCGTTTCTGGTCGGGCGCAATTCCAAGAAATCACTTCGTAGCTGCTACTGACCTCCAGTTAGCCATTCATACTTGAAAAATAATTAGATACGGAAGTTTTTTTCGATGGAAAAAGAAAGTTTTGAAATTTTTTTATAATTTGAAGTGAGTTGTGTTTCAAGTGCGCCCCGTGAACGATTTTTTTGGATAAATTAACTTTTATATATCCTTCACCTTTTTCTCATTATTAATGCAAAGAACGAAACTTCAATCTATGCGCCTTCAAAGCTGTGGGAAAACAAGAAAATGAAGTTGACGAAAAACCAAAAATTGCAGAACCGGGAAAAAAAACTTCCAGTTCATCAGCTTCTTCGAACAATGTGAAAAAGAGCAAAAAGCTTATATTTAGAACAAAGTGAAGACTTTTTCAAAAGTTTTCTCTAATTCAAGGTTTTTTTCAACCTCTTTTTGAATTAGATATAAACCAGATAATGATGAGGAAATGACGATTTTTCCGAAAGCTTTTGTTTTTCTTTTTTTCAAAATTCTCACCTCATTTTTCTCATTTTCATTTTTTTTTTCTGCTTTTCAAAAAACATCATTAGTTGTTCAATACTTCATTCCGGGGGAATTTCGTCGGTTAATCATGGTTTTTTGGGGTTCAATGCCCTCAATTGATGATTTTGAATCAAACTTGAACAACGAGACAGTTCTGAACAAAGTTTTGCGGAAATCAGCGACGAAGAAAATAATTGCGAGTGGGTCGCATAGTGGGAACGAACTGAACATTGGAACCGTGTAGTAATTGTTGAACCTGGAAAGAAAAAGTTCTGAATTTTTTTTTTGAATTCAGGAACGCCAGAGTGGTCCCTATAGGAGTTTAGGATTTGGTCCCTGAGGCCCTAAACTTAAGTTTTTATTTTCTGATTTAAGAAAAAAAAGACGTATTACTGTTTGGTTAAAAATTAGTGGCCACTATAGGGGTCTAAGTGCTTCTACTAGACCACTAAAATTTTTGGGGCCTTTTAGGGGTCAATGGATCAACATAACTGATCCAATCTGTTTGTTTTAAAATCATCAGAGTCACTGAAAGGAACACTGGATAAAAAACTACTGAAGTGGCCACTAAAACGGAAAATAGTGGCCACTTTAGTGTCCTCTCCAAGTAGTCCTTGGGGAGCCTCTATAGTGGCCACTAAAAATTTTCCTAGTAAAACGACGTATAGAGACCAAGCACGCTCCCCTAGAGTTGCCCCTTTTGCTAACTTTAGTGCCCCTATAGGAGGAAATAAGTTGATCCCTTAAGGGGAAGCTACAAAAACCCTTGAAGTTTCCCTCCTAGTCAACACTCCGCGCTTCAAAAACCGTGTCACTTAGCATTTTTTTTTTCAGCGCAACCGACCGGAAACTACTTTCGCGCGGTGGTATACTGTAATATGGAAAAAAGGAAAGCTGCTGAGGGAGTTCACATTTCTTTTAACCGTAAAGAAAAGCACTGAGATGAAAAGAAAATATTTAAACCTGCCAAAATTGATGCCAAGCATCGGAGAGAACCAAGTGAAAATGCAGGGGATAAACGTGACAACGACTGGAATGGCCGTTTGGACGACTAAAGCGTTGAAAAGTTGCTTTTGAAGCACCCGAGTCACTGAGCTGAACGTGCTCTCTTGCAGAAACTTCATTATCTGAAAATTGTAACATATGTTTTCAGGAGAAAAAAGGGACTTTTTCAAAAAATTTTTTTTATAATTTTCAACTTTTTTTGTTTGTTGAATAATGAATAACGTATATAAAAATTAATAATCACCTTTTTTTATTGAAGTTTTTCGTAAACCGTGAATTTTTTTAATGGTAGTCTGTTAGAAATTTTTTCCATATGTTTGAAATCAATCAATTTAACATTCTCATTCAAAAAAATGACTTCCGATAAGCTGGCTAGAGAGCGTCAGCAGCCTGAAGAGACACCAGAGAAGTTAGAGAACCCTGGTTTCTCTGACGTCTCTTCAGATCCCTTTTGTTCTCTCGCTACAGCTTTTCAACCTTTTTTGAATAAACTACGCTTTCTATTTCTTTCAATAAAGTATATAGTTCGGTCGGAAACACCCTAATTCAATTTCTCGTGAAAATTGTTTTCTGCAAAAGTGGTTTTTTGGGTCCAATCCAGAATAACATCATAAATTACCCTCACCTTTTTTCCTAATATGATATACGTGCTTATAGCAAAAACAGAAGGCCCACAGACCAACAAAAAACAACCATAAGTCCTCCAGAACGTCGAACTTGTCTTCGACTGAAATAATAGTTGATTATTTTATCGATTTGATAAATTTTTACCCCGAAGTCCATCGTCACCATAACAACGCCAGTGATATTGGCTCCATAGACAGTTCGGAAATCTTCGCGGAGCATTTCTCTGACTTCAGAAATGTCGAAAATTATGTAAACTGCGGTGGCCCAACAGATCCCATGACCGAAAATGAGGAGAAAAACAGAAAATACGTAGGGGGTTTCGGAGAAATACCGCTCCATTGGTGGCCTGAAATGGAGGATTCAAGATAAAATTGGAGGGGGAAGTTTTTTTAAGAAGTTCGCCTTAAAATTGGTCGCATTTGGAATGGCTCTAAGCGTAACGGTTGTGAAGTGGCCGGCTTTATGCCCATCAAAAAAAAATTTTCCAGAAAAAAAATTGTATTTTCTTGAGATATCTCACTAAGATCTTAGATATTTTTTTAAATCAATAATTTCAGAATCTCCTAGCTTCAAGGTGGTGCAAAGCGTTTGCTTTACTGTGCACCCGACCCAAAACGACTTTTGAAGTCTGGCATCGGGGAGTAACTTTTTTAATGACGAAACCCTAACGAGAACTTCGAGCCATTCTACCTTTTACAAAAAATGAAAGCAGAAAAAAAAATTGGTATTAACTCGACCGAGTTTCGTATGAAAAATAGATGAGATGATGTAAAATTTTTTTTCGGTTCTTGGTCGATTATTCGTTTTTTAAAATGTTCATTGATTTCGAAAGCTTGAGACTGCTTTTTTATAGATCTTTGTGGCAGCAAAATGAAAAGATTTTAAATTTGAGCTTTGAACCCAAGATTATGCTTCGAAGTTCATCGGGATCAACAGTTAGTCACATTAATTACAGCGTTGGACTCTTTCGCCAATTAGCAGCTTATATAATTCATTAAAAATCTATTTTTCGTATAGATAAAAGGTCATGTGTACTTTTTGCTCCATTCATTTCCTATTGAATTTACTGATTCTGCCGATTTTTCGAAGAATGGCTTGAAAAATGAGATTCAATCCAAAATGTTATTTTATAAAAAAATCTATTGAAGTTAGAAAAAGTTAGGGACTGAAATCAAACCTGCATAGAACAATATAACGATAAATGAAGTGGACTTGTAAAATTGAATAACTCATTCCAATCAGTGTACATCGGGCCAAGAAGCCTATTGAGGCTAAGACAGGATTCTGAAAAAAAGTTATGAAGAAATTTCTTGGAAAAAAAAGTCGAAAATTCCTGCACTCCCTAATGGAGAAAGTAGCTGAAAAGCCATTTTTTTGAGTGTAAAGTATGCTCTAATGATAAAATACTTTTTTGCCAACATTTTCTGGATTCAGATAAAAAATTTTGAATTGTAACTCACCCCCGAAAGCAAACCATTTCTCATAAAAGCGCAAACGACCGCTTTATACTGGTGAAGAGCCTGGAAATTTTGAGATATTCTGATTTTTAGGCTCGAGAAAATGTGGTCGCATTTGGAATGGCTGACTGCAGAGTCCAAAAAGAATTTTTAATTAACTTTTTTTTCGGTATAAAAAGCTTCTTCATTTTTTAATGTTAGGAAGGTATTTTAGGAATGACTGAAGGAGCATTTCCCTTCAATTTTAAAAAATTCAAAAGCCATTCCAAATGCGACCAAGGGTTTCTAAAAGTGATAAAACCAACCATTCCGGCCATAAAATCACAAATCGAATAGCAAATATCGAAACAACAGAAGCAAATGAGCAGATTACTATAAGTGAGGGTCATTTTCTTCTTTTTGTGAGATTTTCGAATGACAATAATCAAGAGAGGATTTATGATAAGTGAACAGCCGGAAAATATGCCGCAGAGCCAATTCGGGACCTCTCCGACGTCCACAGAAGTCATTTATCAGAAAACTCTCAGAATTTGAATCTCCGAGAGATTTCTGGTATATTGAAGTGGAATAGGAAATGGGAAGGCAATCAGTTGGTTTAATGGAGGAAAGACCAACAAATACTTGATTTAATTTGGCTCCCGTCGGCAGGTGTTATGCTCATTTTCTTTCTTTTTTTTGAGCTCGTGAGCTGATTTAATATTAGGTTCCCCCTGCCAAGTACCTTATTATCTTCGGTTCGATGAATAGAGCGTAGGAATTGTCGAGACTCCACTATGGGATGAGCTGTTGACTGGAAACCAAATTGTTACCTGAGGAAACACGTGTTTTGAGGTCTTCCTCTTGTGAAAGAGAACACATTTATCATGAAAAAAAAATGGATGAAAAAAAGACTGAGAAGGGCAATTGTTGATTCATCGCTGGCTCGAGCCATTTTGGGGGAAAGGAGGTTTTTTTGGAAACGGTCTTGAAGATAACTTTGAAACTTTGAAACTTTTATTCAGTCTTCAGAGAAGGTACTCTGCTGAATCATGGAATAATTGAAGAGTTGTTCGTCGGTTTGCGAAACTGCCGTTGATCAAGAGTAGACGGCGCGTAGAGCATCTCGCTCTTCTTGTGAAAGTAGTAGACGGTTTTCGAGCGTTTCCGACGATCACTGCTTCTCCATGTAGGAACGGTACGGCGCCCAGCTTGTCCAGGGCTGACGGGCGTCGGACTGAATCTCGGACGAGAGCGGAAATGAAGACCGACCACTCGGGTGGTAGAAAAAAAAATCTTGAAGATAACATTGTAAAAAAAAAGTTTTTAACCTTCATGGTCTCAATAATAAGGAGAAGGGCACTAGTTGCTTGACCTCTTTATCAGGCCATTCTGGGGGAATTTAAGGGAATTGGAACTAATACCGAGAACAGTGGGAAAAAAAGTTTTTAACCTTCATGGTCTTAAAAAATAAGATGAAAAAGGTTGAGAAGAGCAATATTTGGTTCAACTCTTCATTAGGTCATTCTGAAGGATTTCATTGAATTTTCAAAAAATGATTGTGAAAAGATTGGTCTACAAAAAGAAAATATTTCCCAGTTGGGCAAATGAAAATTAGGCGAGAAGTTGCAATAGTTCGTTTACAGCTGCCTGGGTTGTTAAAAAAAAAACTTGGACTTTCGGGAACATTTTCTTGAAGTTATTAACAAGACAGGGCCCTAGGGAGCCAACTTTCCATGACTATTAAACAAATTAAAACAAATAAAATTGAAAATATAAATGTTGGATTCGCTGCTGTCTTGAGACTGTTCAATAAAAATAAATGAACTTTTCAAAAAAATGGTCTTGAAGCGATTAACAAACATTTCTATGAAAAGAAGCGGTTTTCAAGACTTCGAAAGAGCTGAGACAGTGAACGAAAATAAGAGGCTGCTAGACAAGAAAGCTTATTTGTAACTTTGCGAAATATTAGGCAACTTCATTGCTAAGTTTGACAAAGGATAAGGCGAAAATTTCTCACTTTCTCGGTTTTTTTTTATTACCGCAGGGAATTATTGAAAACTGAATTTTTCATATCACTCAATTTTAAAACAACTTTATTCAATTCTATATTGTAGAAAAATAAGTTCAATGTTCATTTATAAACAAAAGTTTGTAACTTTTTCTTCATTTGGCCAATTTTTCGAGGTCTTCCCAATAAACACCAGACAATCTGTTCAATGGCAACTGTGCCATTTTGTTATATGTCACATGACGTTTTCTTTTTCACAATACCTGCGTCTCTTCACAGCTGCAGCTGTTGCGAATTTTTTATCACTTTTTTTTTTGATACTCTTCGTTTTCTGAACATCCTCCTGCTAATCCAACCAATTGCATTAAATAATTTATGGAAAAACGCTTTGCACTTTCTTTTCTCCTCTTGAAAAAGGAACGTCTCACGCGATTTTCACGTGAGTCCGATAATTTTGTCTCCGTGGGGCGCACTTGCCTCGTGTCAGCAGGTTTTCAAAATTCCCAGTCCGTTTTAAAATCCTTTGTTTTCTTTCGTTTTTGATTTTTTAATTTGGTTTTTTTCATTGTATAATACGAAAGTTGTTCTAAACGGGCACCAGTTTAGTCCGAAACAGAGCAAAAGACTGTTTCGGAGCTTTTTTGGGCCATAAATGATTCTATTCTTGCGTTTTGAAACATGATCCGTTTTTTCCGATGAAAATGCCATTTCAAATTATATTCTTGCTTCAAAATGTGTGTTTTAATATGATTTTTATAAATGTTATGCTTTTATGCGAAGCTTTCGCGTTTTTTTCTCCGTTTTCAATATTCTAAATAATTATTACCACTTTGAATTTCAGCAAAATTACGCTAGAAATCGCATGTTCTCTTCTCGTAAAAAAGCATACCAAGTGAGTTTACCGCAAAAACAATGGATTTTAGTTAGAAATATATTTTTATATTATGTTTCAGAGGATCGACGATGACTTTGAAGACTCGTTCCGGCAAGAATCCTGCACGAGTGGCCTTCTGGAAAGTATGAATGCCGGGAGGAGCCGATTATTCGGCAGTTTGCAAGGCGAACAGGAGACTTTGTAAATTTCTGCAAAATAAAATGGAATAAAAACAATTTTAAGGAATCCCGGAACCTCAGCTTCGTCCTATCAAGATTCACCGACTAGGAATCATCAAGCGGTGATTTTTAGAAATAAAATAGAAGATTCAAAATGGAAAAATAGATGGAAGACGGGAGTTTGCCCATAAATTTGCCGCCCCTGATGGCTTCCTCTTCGCAAATGGCCAGCCAACGTTGGGATCACATCGATAATCTTGATATGGTTAATGATAATGCGATAAATTATTATTATAACTGATTTTTTTTTTCTAGTTCTTCACCCACGTCTACGAGTATCATCAAGAAAGCGGGTTCTTGTGCATCGTCCTACAGAAATTGTTCAGCCTTTTTTTCAGTTTCTCTTCATTTTTGGTGGGCATTTTGTTAATTGAACTAACTTACTCTTTTAAGGGGAATTCTTAAAAAAATAGTGATAGTCTTTGTTCCCGGGTACTCTTTTGATTATTTTACTTTAGGTGTGGTAATTTTTAAGCTTAATAAAAAAAAAGGATTTTTGAATTTTCAAAAAAATTGGTTAGACTTTCAAGCTTTAAAAAAATTCAAAGTTTAGTATTTTTTATGAGAAAATACGGAGTTTTCATTAAAAAATTGATAATCATGATTTTTCAAGGTTTTTAAAAAAGCTTTTGGAAGATGATTATTTTTGGAAAATTCAGTTTTTTTGTGTCATTTTTTCCCGTTAGTTCAAATTCAATAAAATAAGACTCCATTCAGTTTTTCTCCACTTTCTTCTTCCAATGCGTTGATTATGACGTCCTTTTCGCCAACAAGAATACGACGACGTCGGGCGCAAAAATCTCAGGGAAACGGCATTTTTCGGTGGGTTCATAGGAACAGAGAGTTATATTTTAACAATAGAAAGGATACAACTTTGAAAGTTTGCTGGAAATCGTCAAAGGCATATTTTGGAAAATATGTATTCTGTCAAAGACAAATTTCTTACGTAAAATTAAGCTTAAAAATCCTCAAAAAGGTCAAAAAATTCTCGTTTTCTTCACTAAAGTATGAGCTTTGAGGCGTTATAATCTGACAAAACGCAGAAATTTGTGGAAAAATTTTTCACCAAGTTGATATAACTCCTTAAAACGTCAATTTTCATTTCTTCACTAAAAAGCTAATTTCAAAACTTTTTACTCGACTAAGAGACATAAATCTTGAAAAATAAGTTTTTGATCAGAATCCGCGTGCTTTCTAGGCCTACGCCGAGTGTTTGGAATTTTCACCAATGTCCAAAAACGGCGAAATCTTTCATTTTCCTCATCAAATTACGAATTTCGAGGCATTCTTTCTTGATTAAGTGCCAGAATTTTCGGAAAAAAATAATTTTTTATTGGATTCTCCATGCTTTGAAGTACGCCTGAGCCCAGTTTAACCTTAGTTTTTCAACAAATTTTAAATTTAGCAATATAATCAATCTCAGGACGCCGTGATCGATAACTGTGCGGGTCAGCTGAATCCTCTGGTTGTAGTGGCCCTTCTAGTGGCCATCATATACTGGATCACTAGAGTCGTCAAATACACCAATTATGTCATTGAAATGCATCGGGTTCTTTTTTTCTTTAGCCCACAAGATGATGTAAGAATTCAGATACAACATTTCTACTACACGGCCTTGAATATCACCGACGATCAGCTGGTGAATCTGACGTGGCACGCCGTCGTGAAACGCATTTGTGATGTAATTTTTCGATTTTTGGACTAGAAAAGGGATTTTGAATATGCATGTGATGAGCATGGCTAGCGACAGCCAACCCCTCCCCCTCATCTTGTTTTTTATTTTTTTTCCCGATCATTTATGACTGAGAAAAATGTAGGATTTTTGTAAAGGAACGTAGGAATTTTTTTTATGATATCAGACAAACGCGCCGTCCAGCACGCACCCTGAAAAATTTTTTTAGGGTTTTTTTGGTCTTTTTTTCTTCAAATGATCTACGATTGGTAGGGGAAAAATTTGAAACAAAGGATTTTTTTATAATTTATCTGCAATTATCTTGAAATTTCTCCTCTAGGGGCCACTTTACCCTCATTGTAAAAGTCACTAAAACTTTAATAAGTGCCCTCTATAGGGAACATGCTACCCGATTATTCTCATGAGAATGTTTCCATGCGAAAAACTCATAATTAGTGATTTTTGATTGGAAAATATCAGCTCGCATGCTGAGCAGGTGTCTCAACGGGTGTACCCGTATTAAACCCGTGTTTCTGAGGTTATTTTAGTCTCAGTTGGGGTAAAACGGGGGAACAACGGGTGTAAGAAAAATAGGTAACCCAGCTGGGCTAAAGCGGGGTCTCAGTTGGGCCAAAAAGTGCCAAAAGTTCTATCAGCTGGGCTTATACGGGTTTAATACGGAGGCACCCGCGGAGACCCCGTGTTAGCACGGCGGGGTTACCCTGCTCAGCATGCGAGAGTAAAGGATTAATTGATCAAATTTTATTAAAAACGTCTTTTTAATTTTCAAAATATGATGCCACGTTCAAATGATTCAGCGAAATCCAGATAGTCTACAGAGAAAGAAAAATATAATCAAATTTTGGAGGGTCAGAGATAATTTTGCATTTCGCGGAAATTACTTTGAACACGGGTTGAACAAAAATTAAAAGACCCCTTTAGGGACCACTCAACCTTTAGGGGCTCAGGGGTCAGACCCTTAAACTTGACTACCTAAATTTTACCTCTGCAGGAAGCTTTTTTTGGTCTTCTATCGAGTTGTTTTCCCTCCAACCCCTTTAGGGACCACTCTGAAGTTCCTGAGAACTTGTAGTTCAACCTGTTGTTTAAATACTTTATTCAAAACTTTCGAACAATTTATTATGACCTTTTTTTAGGTTCAACCGCGACTGCACTTGATGATCCACACGGAACGGATGACTTCCATCGACGTTTATCATAGGATTTTGCGTTATAAGAATTATATGGTCGCTATGGTCAACAAGGTTTCAAAATTGAGAAGAAACCCTGATTTCACTGTACAACTTTGTTCAGAGAATCCTCCAACCCATTTTCACCGTCCCATTTTTGGGCCAAGTCGCCTATTTTCCCAATGGGTTGAAGTCGAAAATTGAAAGAATGCTCTTTTATAGGTTCGTTACTTTTACTGTTTTGAAAGCTTCACGCGCAAAGATGGGGGGGGGGTGAAATTTCTAGAGAAAAATTTCCAAGGAGCTCTTGGATTATGTTCTTCAAAACTCCTCCCCCTCCCCCCCAAAGAAATTAAAAATTCAAAGATCTAGCCATAAAAAAATTTCCTTTTTTTCCTGGAAATTCTCAGAAGACTTTCACACAAAAATACGAAAGTTAGGTCGTTATTTGCGATTTTTTTAAATTCACGATAATTTATTTTCTCTATGGTTGAAAATCCTGTAATTTTCAGAAATAATTGATGAAAAAAACTATCAAAAAAAAACCCCCTATTAAAAAGGTGACTCAGTTAAATTTGAAATTCGCGCCAAAGAGCCGACCGCGCCGCGTACGCAACGCTTCACCCTTGCCTGCCAACCTTTCTTTTTGAAATTGGGAAGGATTCACTATAAAAATAAGATGAAAATTTTATTTTCGCGCAAACTGAACAGGTCAAAATAACTTCAAAAAGATGAGGAAGACATTGAAAAAAAAATCTGGCCTGAAAAAAATGTCGATATCTACGGTTTTTCGATGAAAAATAAATTTGAAAACAGAAAAACGGAAAAACAGAAACAATTTGGACTATTTCAGTTCAACAGCTCCCTGGGACGGGCCGAACCTCCGAGAAGAATACAAAATGGTCGAAACCTTGGAGGGATTGACGGCGAAATTGGAGAAAGATGTAGGACAAAGTTTGAGGTTTTATTCGAAAATATATCCAATTTTAGTGCGCTTTTTATGGACTCGTTTACTTGGTCATGATGCCGGTTTTGTTCCCGTTTCAGGTTAAAAATGTTTTTTTTTTTGAAGTTTGAATTTGCGAATTTCAGATCCTCGTTTTTATCTTTTCGTTAGCCGAATTGTTGAAACGACGGCCCGATGAGCTGGGAATGAGGAGATATAGTAACTATGGAAGGTTCGTAACTTTTTTATTTCAAATATATAGTAATAGTATAGAACAGGATCTTTATTATCGATTTTTCATTCAAAGAATTTTTTTTCTTCTGATTTTTGGCTTTGAAATGACTTTTCTTTGATTTTTGAAGTTAAATAGACTTTTATGTGAACGAAAAGCTGCTTCAAAATGCTTCAAATTGATTTATCATCAAGTTTTTTGCATCGTTTAAGTTTTGCGAAGTGTTATTTTAAAGATTTTGGCCAATATTGAGTTCAAAAGTTGAGAAGAATTTAGTTAAGCATCATTTTTCAAAAATCTGAAGAGTTCATCTCAAGCTTTCATACTGAAAATTTTGATGGATATTTAAAAATATTTTAAAATGTTTCATTTTCCTTTTTTAAGTGATCCTGTTATTTTTAACATGCATACGTTTCCAAAAATAAGCAAGATTCATGTAAGAAGAAGCTTAGGCTTTCAAATGAACTCTGGGTAGAGGACAACTTTTACATCGTTTGATTTTAGTAATAGACCAATATAACAAAGAATAAGAAAGTTTTTGGAAGAATATCGAGAGAAAAGCGATGTCGGTGTCATTGACGATATAGCAAATTACCCGCTTTTTCGTCAGCATTTATTTCGCTTTTCTGATGCGCTGAGAAGCAAAATTTGGGATTTTCCGAATTGCGAGATCGCGCCAGAAAAATGCGAGATTGCGCCAAAAAAATGCGAGATCGCTTCGAAGAACATGCGAGATTGCGGTAGGAAAAATGCGAGGTTGTGCCAAGAAAACCGCAAGACCCTCTACAACGTAGCACTTTGTCGAGTTTGTCAATGTACCGCCAGCGATCTCGCTTTATTTCGGCATTTAATCTTACCAGTGGTTAGCGCTAGTACAGGAAAACTGGTAAATGCGAACTCTGAGAGAGAAACCATCCCTTTAGATACTTGGTGCGACATTTCAACGAGCTGGACCACGAACTCTCGGCCCGACTCAACCGATCTCACATGTTCGCCACTGCCTATATGGATCAATTCTTCTCGCCCGTGATGTCAATCGTGGCGAAGAATATGATGTTCGTCACGGCGGCCATCGTTTCGGTCTTGGCCATCTTGTCAGCCTGGGACGAGGACGTCATTCAGGTAGCCTTGGACAGGAGCCAAAATTGACTTTGAAGCGTTTTTGGCATGCACCTTTTGAATGAAAAAGCTTCGAAAATTTGAAAATTTGGAAAGTTTTCAAGGGTTCAGGCTTTTGCCTTGCTAGTTCCAAAACTGCCATTTTCAAAAGGTTTTGTTAGAACTTCGATAATCGTTTTACTGTAAAGTTTCGAGCACTTCAGATTTGATGTAAGCCCCGCAAGATTGTAAGGGGTCATTTGAGGGATTTTTCAATTACCAGCATTTTTTTTAGGAATCTCATTGACCTTGTACATTTTATTGGAAGATTTTCATCGATTTCACATTTTTTTAGATAGAACATGTTCTAACGGTAATTTCGGCTGGAAGTGTGATCTTGGTGGCCTCTCGGGGCCTCGTCAAGGATGAGAACCTCGTTTGGCAACCTGAGGTTTCTCAATTCATAATCCTTATCAATATTAACCAACTAATTAAGGTCCTAATGACCCACGTGGCCAGCGAATTACACTATTTGCCTGGCGAGTGGAAAGGCCACGCCCACGCGGAAAATGTCCGCACCGAATTCGACCAGCTCTTCCAAATGAAATGGATGTTCTACCTTCTGGAGGTGTCCAGCCCCATCTTGACGCCCTTCATTTTGCTCTTTTGGTGAGAAATCGTGGAAAAAAGATTTTTATATATTTTCCTGAAGTTTTTCATAGAAAAATCAAAGCGTTTTTTGAGAAAAACAAATTCTGGAGATAAGAAGTACCTAAAAATGTCCATTTCGATTTAAGGTTGCGGCCAAGATGCGCCGAACTCATCCGCTTCTTCCACGACTACACGGACCGGGTCGAAGGCCTCGGAGACGTCTGCTCGTTCTCCATGATGGACGTCGCCAAACACGGCGATCCGTCCTGGAATGCCATCGCCCCCAAAGAAGGCGTCAAACCGGAAGCTGATCCCACGGCGGCTGTTCGTTTTTTTTATGTGTTGCAGAAAGATGAACCCCTTCAAATATAACCCAATTTACTCTTTTTTTAAATTGATGTGAGGGAAAGAATGTGCAGCGAGTATAAATTGAATTCCGATCAAGAAATTTTAAAGTTTCTTTTTTTGGGTTTACGTGTTTTTCCACCCTTTTTTGGTCAATGTAAAAAACGTATAGAAAAAGAGAGATCTACAGAAAAACATCAGCGAAGATCGGAGCTTTCAGTCAAATCTGACGTCACTTTGAACCAGAAATTTTTCGTTTTTTTGCTCAATAATTCCTTTGAGGGTGGCAATAGTGAAACGCGCCAAAAACGCCTTTTTTTCAGATGGCCATGACTCAGATTGAAGCTCAAAATATTCATTTCTTGAAATTAATTATTTTTTTTCACCTCCAAAAGTTCAAACAAGGTTCTTCTCTTCTTGATTTTACGATAGTTTTCCTATAGATGCTATCAATTATCATTTGAAGATCGTCACTTCTCACAACCGAGCTCTCGATGGCAAAACTGAACTTTCCGTGTTGCATTTCAAGTCAACGAATCCGGAATGGCGGCCCCCGGCAGCTTCTGCTCGGTTTTTGGATCGATTCAGGCACAGGGTTTGTAAATTTTTTTCTTCTTGATACTTTAGTTGGAATAAATAAGAAATCGTTTTATTTGATTTTTATTGTTTTTTGAATTTTTTCGTTTCTGGTTAATTAATTTTTTTTTTCGTTTCTGGTTAATTAATTTTTTTTTTTTCGTTTCTGGTTAATTTGGCAAATTTTCCACGTCAAGATTTCTCATACCCAAGTATGCAAGAAAAACGCCTTGTATCAGGAAAAGAAATATATATTTTTATATTCTGAGTTTTCTGATACACAAGTAGCTCAATAAAGTACTGTACAAGAACGTCAAAAAAAGGTTTTTTGTCAAGATTGAATTTTCCAGTTGGGCAACGACGCCTCTTCCCTGCCCTACCACACGCCGATGGCCACGATCGCCGCCTCGACCAACTTTGAAAATGGCGCCGAGCAGCCGCCGATGCCCGTCGGCCGATTCGGCCGCAACCTTTTGAGAGAATCGATGCACTCGATCGTGCCTGGCAACTTCCGAGGCGCTCCTTCTGTTCGACATCCCTTGCTTGGTACGGTGACAGAAAAGCCGCTGAAAGGCTTTTTACAAGAATTTTTAGGGCTTAAAAAGGGGGGTGGGGGTGGAGGAAGAAGGGTTAAGAAGGTCAACATAGGTCGGTAAAGGTGCAAAAAATAAGCGTGATAGAACCGTTTCCCACCTCTCTGGAAAACTGGTGAAAGAAGTCTTACAAGGGAGGTCATTTTTTAGCGGTTGGGAATTTTTCGAAATTTGGCCAGGACCTTCCTTGATGGACCAGAAGAAGATTCTAATAGTATCTTGACTTGAACGATCTCCTAGTTTTGGAAAAGGGCCCGTCAAAATCCGTTAAAAATGGCTATTTTTAGGGGCTTGAGGCTTAATCTCTCAAAGACTAGTGAATTTTGCAGGTTTAGAGCTTATTGGAATGATGAAAAAACTGAAACTAAAACTCAGGGGAATGAAAAGAACGTGATTCCAGCTGACGGAATCCATCGAATCGACGGCCCCGTGGAAAGTGTCTTTTCCGCGGCTCCCAGCGGCGGAATCATCAACAGTTTGTATCACGAGAAGCCCCATGCCGCCGAGTGTTTGAACGAGAGTTTGAAGGCTAGCGGTGGGTTTTGGCGTTCTTCATCATTGAGAAAAGAAAGTAAAATCCGTGGTTAAATTTACGAATCTTCCAGGCGTTGATATCGACAGTGCCGGAGCTGAAATGAGGATTCAGGCGCTCTTCCTTCGTGGCCTTCACGATGAGAGTCGATATTTGTTCGTTTTCTTTCGATTTCGAAAAAAACCTGCGACGTGAAAAATGTTTTCTGATCATAAATACGACTGAGAAAACCCGAAAAAAAAATTTTTCAAGAAAATTATCACAAGCGCACTGAAAATATTCTATAAATGTTCAAAATTCAAATTTTGGCTTTTTTTACATGACCTGACGCTTCGGAGTGTCTGCGTCTCTCTGTTCCCTCGCTGGCGAAGTTAGAGGAACGTAAAAAAATAGCACGTCAACATGAGAGAGTCGCCGAGGGAAAAGGAGGGTGCAGAGAAAAACAGCAGTGAAATGGTGTATAAAATATCCTTTTTAAACATTTTTTTCGTTCCTCGAGGCATAGATAAGTTATTTTTTCATCTGTAAACGGGATATAGCTGTCTGGCTTTATTTAAAACTTTCAATTGGAGTTCTTCCCTCTGAAAAATTGAAAGATTCAGGCAAACGCGATTCGGCAGCAACTACGGGACGAGCATTGCGCCGCACACGATGCAGAGTATCATGGACATGCCCGAAGGATATGGAAGAGATGGAGGTGGATCTCATCGAAATTCAGTCTTGAAATCTTTTTTTTTTGAAAAAGGAGCTAATTTAAAAATTTCACTCATGAAAAAAGGTCATCACAATTTTGATAGAGCGCGATTTCTTGTCTTCTTTCTATAGATGCGCCCGACTTTGAGCGCCTTGCTTCCTATGGTTAAGAGTGCCCCCGCGCGCAGAAATTATCAGCGACCGTTTTGCGACCGCGACGCGTAGAGCCATTCTAAGCGGCACAGTTCGAGCCGGCTTTTAAAGCTTTTGTAGTCATGATCTTACAGAGATCAAAGGTTCAAAGGTCTTGGGTGAATTTTCTCACCAGGGACCAATTTTTAACCCCTAAGTGGAGCTTGGTTAAAGCGTTCTTTGAAACAGCCTTCCTTGATTTTTATACCTTGAGTACTCTGAAGGGACATACAACTTGAAAAAAAAAACCCATTGAGGAAAGTATCTTACCATTATCCTGTGTGAAAAACTGTTTATGTATAGTCAATGTTTCCCGACTTGGAAGGCGAAGGAGGCGGGGCAAGGGGCGGGACGCGTAGCGTGTGTGTTCGCGGTTCTTCACGAGCTCAATTCAATTGTCGCCGACTTTTTAAAAAGCTCGGCAACCGCTTAACTCAATTTTTTCAATTATTTTTTGATGCACACATGAACATAATCAATAAATAATTGAAAAAGGAATGAAAAAGCGAAAAACGGGTTTTTCAAAGAGTAGATGGCGGTTGAATTGAACACGTGCCAAGAACCGCGAACGCACACGCCACGCGTCCCGCCCCCTGCCCCGCCTCCCTCGCCTTTCAAGTCGGGAAACATTGACTATATTTTAAAAGTCTTTTTTTGACCTCTGGATAGCAAGTTCGAACCATTTATCATTTTTGGGTAAACCACATTCACCACTCTCTTACCTACAGTACCGTCAGAAAAGATACGAAAAAACGATGTTTTGGTCACAAATTTCTTTTGGAGAATATAATCTTTTTGATACTTTATGGAGTTCGGATGACTGTTATTTTTAACACTGATGAAATTTCAGTTCACAGAAAAAGAACGCAGCTTCAAAAACTTTCAAGAAGATTGAATTCCTTACAAAAAAGTTGACAAAAGTCGGGTTTCGTTGTATCTCTTCTGACGGTATTGTAAGCCTTCTAAAGTACATTTCAGTCAGCTTTATTAAAATTCGATCGAAGCCCGTGTTGAAATCTATTCAAAGCCAATCCACCTTCCAAATTTCAGAAGAGCTGAACGGCGAGCAGCCGACGTCGTCGCAGGCCTACGGCATGACGGCGATGAGCGAACTTCAGATGGCGTCGTCCGCGGCGCCCGTCGCCGCAAGTCGTCTCGGCTTCAGGGCGCAGACCGACGAGGAAATCGGACGTCGACATGGATCTTCTGGAGTGCCGCTGGACGTGACCGACGAGGTCGACGAGGACATGCCACCGGGGTCTTTCAATTGCTGAAAATAGTTCTCAAAGATCTGCAAAGTTTCCCTGCTCTTGAAATGATTTCTGGATGGAAGATTCGGGATTTCTTATTGATGGATTTTAAGTTTAACTGTATATTTTTTTTTTGGAGATTTCCTTTATCCGTGGAGCACAAATGACCTCGAATCAAGTTTTGGAGAGAAAAAAATTTTTTGAAGCGAATTGTTTTCTGGATCTTGGAGCGAAGAGCCGTTTTTAGGAATATTTTTGTTTTTAGAAAAGTTACTGCGTCTTTAATTAAAACCCATACAGCAGTACTTGAATAGGATTAAATGTCTACTATTGAAAAATACAAAATTTAAAAAAACTTCCAAAAAGAAAAAAATACTTTCCCGATTTTCCATCCTTTTTGTCACTTTTTCTGATTCATTTCTTTCTCATTGTATCCCAAATTTGTGTAAAAATGTAAATTGAGTTCCCTCTCAATCAAAAAAAAACTTTCCCAAAAACCGTGTTTCAACTATGAAAAGAGCTCCAAAGTTTTTTTCCCTCGCCTGTACATTCATGCATAATTCTCATGCCTATTCGGTTTTTTTCTTCTCTTATCATTGTTTATTTGCTCAATTTTGTAAATAGAATTTTGTATATTTTTTTCACTCACTTGTCCTTTGCAAAGAATCGTGTAGGTTTCTTCAGGCGGCTTTCTTTTTCATTATGTACCCCTTTCTTTTTGTTCATATTGCACTATATTTTCATTTTTCAAAAAATAGTCGCATTTTGTTGTATTCGTGTTGGATAAATTCGAACTGCGTGAGGAATTTCGGTAAATAATCGTTTTTGAGCGATTGAATGTTTTATTTTAAAGGGACGATTTGATCTTCTGTATCCACTTGTCCGTAGAATCATGATAAATTGGATTTGTGAACTTTCAGATAAACCCTAATATGGAGGCCATTTCCAAAGGTTTCCCGAAGAAAACCGACCAGACGCCGTTTTTGTCCCCTCCTTCTTTGAATCGGTTCCAGAAGAGGGTTTAGATTTTTCAAATTTTCAGATTAAGAATACTTTTTCAGGCGGAATATCAAGCAAATCCTTGGATCCATCGCCAACTTCCCAAATATGGTCGCATGTTCAAGGTGATTACAAAGTGTAGAATTTTGAGATGAAAATGTTTTTGTATTCTTTTGTTTTCTGTAAAAAGTTATCAATATAGGCAAAGTCGAAAAGGTTGGAAAAAGGCTCCATAGAAATGTTCCTTTTTTGGTGCCTTTTTGCACCATTTTTGCTGCCTCTCCCTTTTTCCACCATTTCTTGAACCTTTGAAATCCCAGAAAAGGCTCGGTAAAGGGAACCTTTTTGCGGCCTTTCTGCAGCCTTTTTTTGAGCCCCTCCCTTTTAGCGGCCATTCCGACTTTGCCCGAGAACAAAAAGAAAAGAAAGATGTGTTAAAAAAAAGCCTTTTGAAATAAAATTTCCGGGATTTTTTTTTAAATTTCTATGAACCTTACATAAAAATTTAAGATTATGTTTAGAAATATGAATTTCGATTTTAAATGCTCTCAGAAAAACTCATCCCATCATAAAGTTTTTTTCTGTATCCCGAGTTTACGGGTTCCAGAAAGAGGAATGTGAAATAAAACTATTATCGAATTTTTAATATTTTTTTGTTCAGTTTTTCCAAAAAAAATCGGTAAGAAATATCAACAATATCAAAAAAAAAAAATAATTTTACTCAGAATAATCAAAAATTCTGATGAACGAACAGCACAGCTCCTATGAATTCAGCAAAAAAAGTTTATTTTCGGAAAAAAAAGGATATTTTCCGTGTTTCTGAAATCACCGGTGATTAAACTATGAACTTTTCAGGCCGATTTCCGAGGCGAAGAACTGAAATGGCCGGAAAATGTGGCCCAGAAGAGCCCAGTCGAAGAGAAGACTTCCGGAAAGAAGAACAAAAAGGAGAAGAACAAGAAAACGAAAGGGAAGCCGGTGAAAGGAACTTCCCAAGAATTCGCCCAACTGGACGTCGATGGAATGGACGGAAGGAGTGATGAGGATGACGTCATCGACGTCACCGACATGTTGCCTTCCGATTTAGACGACGTCGAGGGAGAGGTTCAGGGAAATATATGAAAAGGAGAAGAAGAATGTTTTAGGTCCCAATGGTAAACTCGAAGAGGAAGAAGAAGAAGGTGATCAAGAAGAGTTTGAAGAAGAAAAGGGTAGAGGACGACGAGGAGATGCCTTTGGTGGGTTTCGTGGTTTTTGTATACTCGGGCAAAGTCGGAATGGTGGATAATGGCCGCTAAAAGGGAGAGGCTCAAAAAAGGAAGCAAAAAGAGTCCCTTTATCAAGCCTTCCATTTTTTCTGGATTTTCAGATGTTTCAGAAATGATGGAAAAAAGGGAGAGACAGCAAAAATGGTGCATAAAAGCCGATGAAATGGCGCAAAAGGGGAGCCTTTCTCACCCTAAAAAAATCAATTTAATGGAGCCTTTTTCCACCCTTTCCGACTTTTTTTCTTTTCTGTTTGCTCTATGACACTTAAGATGAAGATTTTCAAGTTTTCCTAATTTTTTCAACAGTTATAATTTTTTGTCGTAAATGTTGAGACATGGTAAAGCAGTTTATTCGCTGGTACTACCAACGAGCCCACATTATTTCCCAACGCCAGCTGTCACTCCGGGACGTATTGGACAGCGATTGTGGACCGTAACCCGTGCCGACGACTAACTCTTCGATTATACCATGATTCAGCAGGGATTTTCTTCATCTTACTCTGAAGACTGAATAAATTGAAATTAAATTGAAAATTGAATGTTGAGCACTCTTAGGAATCCTCCCAACGAGCGACGTCTTCCAAGCTGCCGAAAGAGGACGACGAAGACGATGAAAGCGACTTTGAAGAATCGGTCAGAAGACGTGATCGGAAAGCTGGCGGGAATGATTCTGAAGAAGACGAAGATGAAGATGAAGCGGAGAGTGAACGCTTCAGGGAAGGTGGGCAAATCAAAACTTCTTCGCAAAAAAACTTTTGACTGATTATTTGAATTTGAAAAAAATGCCTGAAATTGTCTTCGTTGTCACCTTTTCATGGTAATTTTCTTGATAATGATTTGGAAAAACGAGAAAAAAATTTACCAATTTTGAACCATATTGAAATCCATCTCCATAAAACACCTGAAAAATGCGACTATATTGGGGATTCAAAGGATCTAAAGATTTTCTTGATACCCGGCAAAAATATTCGGAATCTAAAAAATATTCCGAATTGATTTCAAACCCTTATTTGGAATCGATTCACAGAAGGGGGGCAGAAAAAGAGGCTCTGTTTTATTTTAATTTTAAACACGCAAAAGGTTTTATTGAATCAAAAATAACTATGATAAATGCCTTTAGAATTTTGAAAGTGTTTTTTTTAATCTAGTGCTTCGAAAATCCCAACGAGATTATCAGTGGAAATGTATCTAAGAGATCGATTCATTTTTGTTTTAGTTTCACAGTAATTCGGGCGTACAGCTTTGTAACTGATTCTTAAATATCGTTTCATTTCGAAAAAAATTTTTCCTTTCAATTTTTAATTTTTGAAAAAAAAGGAACTAAACTGTAGAATTTTTTTTTCGAAACAAATAAAATACTGTTTCTTTCAAAAGCTTTTCACCTGTGATAATCTTATTTTTACTTCTAGAAATGTCGAATCTTCCCCTGAACCAAGTGCGCGCGATGAAAGACAAACTCGGCATCAAACTCTTCAATAAGACGTTTTTCGGCGTTTCCAAGGAGGAGGCTGAGAAGAAGAAGGCGGCTGAGAATGTGGAGCAGGAGGTTTTCCACTTTTTTTTTATTCTAGAGATCACTCAACGTTATAGGGAGCTTTCAAGTAGAATTTTTCGCATTTTTAAAATTTTCAAGGCAAGAAACACATCGAATTGACTTAAAAAACCAGAGTGGCCCCTATAGGGCAACCTTAGGGACCCAAGCAATTTAAAAAGAGGATTATAAAAAAATGTTTTAATAACTTGCTGATTGGGAGTTAATTTGACTTTAGGGTTGGGGATTTTCTGAAAATTGATCGTAGCTTTTATTTATGTGCCAGATAAAGATTCTGGAGGTTTTGAACTTTGAAAAGTCATAATTTACAAGGAAAAATAATTCAGAGAAAACAATTGGAAATCCTGAAAATAAGTCTTTGAGCCCAGTCTTTTCAGAAAAAAAGAGCATTTTTTGGAGGAATTTCAAAATTTTTTTATCCACAAAAACAAAAACTATTTTGCTTTTTTTGAACGTGTTTTAAAAACACCCTTGTTCGAACGAAAATACAAATTTCGCTTTTTTTGTTCGGGTTTTGAAGCCTCAGAAGGTCTTCAATGTCTTCAGAAGAGAATTTTTTTATATGAATTTAGAAATTCCTCAAAAATTTGCTTTTTTTGCCAGTGGAAATCAAGAAAAATCGGCTCTCTGAAAATTCAGTACGTTTTCGAAATTCGCTTTTTTTCGCCGGTGAAGATTTAAAAAAATTCATTTTTTCAAAAATCCAAAAAATTCCTGAAAAATTGCCTTTTTTGTCAGTGAAAATCAAGAAAATCCATTTTTTCAAATTCAGAAATGTCTTAGAATTTGCTTTTTTTTTCCTTTGCAAAACGAGAAAAATCACACATTTTCCAGAAACTCGGTCAACACCGTCCAAAGGAAATCTCCTCGAAACGGCCCGTTTCAGCTTTCCGCGAAATTTATGGCCAACATGAGATGAAGAAGAAAAAGTTAATTCGAAAAACTGATTTTGATTGAATAGTAATTGAATTTCAGGAAATGGGATCCGAGATTCGACAGCCGGGCCGGCGATTTCAAGGAGCAGTGTTTCGACGACAATTACGGGTTCTTGAACGAAATCCGAGGCGAGGAGAGAACGGTTCGAGGAGTTTTTTTGTTAGGGAAATTGATTAAAAATCAGAGTTTTCTATTAGTTTTCAGCTGAAGGTTTAGGAAAAAAAGTGTGGTGAAATATAGGAAAATTCGAACTAAAGGGAAAAAAATACTTTACCCCTTTAAAGATCGAAAAAAATTTTTTTTGAAGATTTTTTTAAAAAAATTCGAAAAAAATTGTTACAAATCAGGATCGAATTTCGTTACTTGCTGCTGAGAATAACACAGAAAAATTATGTGAAAGTACGTGATTCGCATTTTTTTAAAGTTTTTGGTGCAGTTTTTTTGGATTTTAAGTTCAAAAATTCGAAATAATTTGATCAATTATCTCATCATTTATTGACGGTTTTTTTCGGATAGAAATTTTTCTTACAAAGTATTCTTGATGAGAAAGACGCGAAGAAAGAAATGTCACTCATTTATTTTATCTTCCATCTATAAATTGCGGCGAATTTTTTTGAAATTTATACCGTTCAGAAATGAAATTTCATTATTTTTTTACGTCTGTAGTCATCATTTGTTCATTACGATGATTTCATTTTTATGCGGAAATTATGGTTTGTTCGCTTTTCTGTACCCTATACTGTGATAAAGATTGCTTGGAATTTAAAAAATAAAAAATGAATGACGCAAGGAAACTTCAAAAATGCTTTGTTTCGATGTTTCTAACTGGAAAAAGTAACGCCAAATGGTTTTTTTGAAGTCTTTTTCAAAAAAATTAAAAGAAAGTAAAATTTTTTTTTGAGATTTTGAAGCAAATTTCTACTGGAAAGTTAGCTTGCCTTTGAAAAAACTTTTTTTTTGTTTTTCATTTTTTTGAATTGAATAATTTTTCAACTCTGACGTGTCCTTGAAACTTCGAAATTTTGAAAGAAATCCAAATCGGCCGAATTGAAAATTGAAAATTCTTGGACTTCAAGTAGTTTTAATGATGCAGTAAATTTATCTAACGAAGTTTTTATGGAATTTATTTCAGAAAGTTTCCAAAAATTCCGCATTTTTTGAATAATAGCCGTTTTTCTCAGGAACTGATCGCGGAAATGGATCAAGCAACGGCGAACGGCGACTTGAAGCGAGCCGAACGGTTGAGAAAAGTAAAAAATTCGGGAAAATCTAAAAAATTATGCTTTTTGAGATGATGATAGTGTTGGACAACAAAGACAAGGCCAAGGCGGAGAAGCGGATGAAGGCCGAGACGAGAAAAAAGAACTGAGGGAGGAAAAATATCGAGAGGATGTTGCGAGGGGAGAAGCCCGTCTACAAGACTAAAGGTTCGTTTGGGGGAAATGAAAAATTTTGTTCTGTATAAAAAAAGTATAAAAATACTCACGATATGTCGATTAAGAAAATAAAAATGGGGAGTTGGTAAAATCCGTAAAATTAGCTGCAGCCCTTGTATGCAGACGTTTCGAAAAATCGTCATTTTTTATCGACTTTTCACTGGATGGAAGGAAATTTTCCCCACAGTCACTATCAACACAAAAAATGCTCAAAATGACATATTCTTCACGTTAAAGTTGGTCTGAACCGATTTGCTCCACCAGGAAAAAAGTTAGCTTCACACGGTATTTTCTCTACCGTAACCCTCAAAGTGGGCGGAGCCTTCAAAAATCAGGTGTTATAAGTTAAAGAGTTTTTTTGTAGTATTTCTGATAGAAAAAAACGAGATTTTGAAATTCTTGTACCAAGATATTTTTTTTATGGTTCCTCTCCCCCTTTTTGAAAAAAAAAAGACTTTTTTTTCTTTTCGATACATTTTTCAGCCCCTTATGAAGAAACTTTACCTAAATAACTGGAAAAATGTTTTCGCCACTGTTTTTTAAGGCTTCTTTCCATATGGAAAGTCAGGAAATTGAATTTTTCAGCTGAGGTCCGCAAGCTGGAGATGAACAAGAAGTTCGAGCAGCTCAAAAAGACCAACAAGCTTGACAAGTACTTGGAGAGGTTTGATTTTTTGAAAAACGCTTATAGTTTGCTTTTTTTTCCAGGAAAGCCAAGCAAGCCGCCTCCAAAGAGCGGAAAAAGAAGCCTTCTTCAAATTTTGAGCAATTATACGGTTATCAATGACTGTTTCCTGTTTCAGAGTGGTTCTTCTACATTTTATTGAATTGTTACTGTTATTATGTTATGCCCTGTTACATTACCAACAAAAATATTAATATTAATAATAAATTAGAAAAACTTTATTATTAAGTGTACAGGAAGTACCCGAGATGAGAAGAATGATATTGGGTAGGCAAATGTGATTGGAAAGTTGTAGGAGTTTTGAGAAGTTGAAGCTTAAAAATTTTCAATAACGCCTGATTTAAGATTCTATGAGAAAAAAACGCCGGGATACTTGATTTTTGGCGTTTTTTCCGATTTAAGAAGATATTAACATCTGTACTGAGAAAATTTTTAGTGGCCACTATAGGGGCTCGCCGATGGAGAGGACACTAAGGTGGTCACTGATTCCACCTCTATAGTGGCCACTTCAGCAGTTTTTCATCCATTATTCCTTCAAGTAACTCTGATAATTTCAAAACAAACAGATTGGACCAGTTATGTTGATCCATTGACCCCTAAAGTGGCCACTAAAATTTTTAGTGGTATGTATTTGTAGCACTTAGACTTCTATAGTGGCCACTAGTTTTTAACCTCTTAAAGTGGCCACTAATTTGACTACTATAGTGGCCACAAAAAACGTCAAAACCCTATAATGGCCACTAAAAATTTTCCCAGTAGTTTCAACCTAACGGGCTGAGAGTTTGAATATCTCAACATTATTCGTAAATTCTTAATATTTAACTCGAAAGATATAGCTGATTCACGGCTGGCTTGAGTCATCGAAAAAAGGGTCCTGACACGATTTTTAAAAAAGTAGACAGTGCCTAGTCGGTGGAGGACGCAGACAGGCCACGCCCTTTCCCAAGTTCGCCGTGAATCGGCTATAGTAAATACCGGAATAGCTTCAACTTCTCCTCCATATAATCTCAGTTTTAACTCAAAAAACTAGGCGATAAAACCGCGGTGAAAAGTGCTCCATTGGACGCGACTACGGGAGATAAAGCGTATGGATTCAAAACGAAAGCGGAAACGAAAGGAGGCGACAAAATCAAGGGCGACAGGACGAATGGCGACAAAACCATCGGAGTCAAAGCATTCGGGACCAAAATGAAGGGAGAAAGGCAAAATGGCGACAGAATCAGGGGAGCCATGACGACTGGCGACAAGATGAAGGGAGTCATCAGGAATGGCGAGAGAATCAGTGGGAGTCCGACTCCTGGCGTGAGGATAACTGGGATCAAAGCTAGAGGCGAGAGAACGATCGGTGCGAAGACTACAGGAGACAGGACGACGGGACCGAGGATTCTGGGAGCGACGATGACCGGGACGAAGACCCAGGGCGAGAGAATGACGGCGCCGTAGATGGACGGAGAGAGGACCAGACTGGAAAGGACGATCGGCGAGAGGATGAACGGCTGGGAGGCGAGGACGGGGTCGCCGACGACGTTCAGGAGCAGGGTCGGAGTGAGGGTCACGTCTTTCTGAAAGTTTTCGGATGAGCTGGAGGCTCAAACTGGATCTTTTTTGGATAGTTTAACTTTAGGCATAGTTTCTCTTGGCGTGAGTTTTATTTTGGCAAAACTTGAAAAACTACAGGCTTTAGAAAGATTCCATTTTTTTTTAGCCCTCGGAGGTTTCTGAGGATTCCTAGTGATCCCTTTAGAAGCGTCAGCACTCTTAATTGATCACTTGGAAGGCTCAGAAACAAGCTTTCTAAGAAGTTTTCGAATGAGCTTGGTCGGAAGGATCAACTTTACTAGAAGGACATTTTCTGAAAGCCTGACTCCAGTTTGGTTTGACATGGCTAGAGCCTTGTTTAAGCCGTTCTTTGACACCACTTCAATCTTTACAGCCCTAAAATATAATTCTAGTTTGGATATGTATCTCAATCAGGTATTCGGAAGAAGAAGACCTTCTTTAGGACTATGTCTTTCCAAAGAAAATTCCGCATAGCCCCACAGAAAAGAAATATGGTCTGTGACCGGAATTGAATATGACTGTTTCGCGGCAAGCTTTTTTTGAAGATTTTCCTGTTTTTGGAACAGTTGAAAAAAATGGACCTCGGATATTAAAACTTGGGACTTTGGACTCATTCCGTTAAAACTGTATTTTTCTCTACCCCTGACCATTGATCAGTGTTGGCCGCTCTCATCCTCTCCACCGCCTTTTTTCATTTTTTTTTTCTGTTTTTTTTTACTCTTTTTTTTTTGGTTTTACTTCTTTTTTTTAAATGTTCGCCCCCAGCTGCCGTTTCTCAATTTTTCAGTGAGAAACTCAAGCGGTCCTCAAAGAACCCTTGCAAAAAAATTTTTCTTGCTTATTTCCAGAAAGTTTCAAAAAAAGCAAAGCTAAATGACCGTCCTCAAAATTTTTCCTTAATCTCAAACATAATTTTTTTAATGATTTTTTTGACTCACTTATTTGCATTCTCTACTGTTGCTTTTTTTTGTCCCGAACCTTTCTCGAAGCTTCGAACTTGAGCTCCTCCTTGGCCAACTGTCGGATGTGAGTTTCAATGAGAGCCGGCATGGCTTCTTTCTCGACGCTGGTCAGCCTTTGAAGGGCTTCTGAATCGTTGAATGGAGATCCGGGTCCGTAGAAGGCGTGAAGCTGAGCCTTTTCCATTATCGTGTACCCCGTTTGATTCAGGCCTTCCATCTGGAAAAAATGGCTTTCTTGATTCTTTCAAAGAACCTCACCTGCTCAGGTGACAAAGAGTCGTGAAGCCGTTCGAAAGTCTCGATTTTGCTCTTCTCGTAGTCTCCGTAGATCTCAGTGACGTTCTCCTTGGTGAAGTACATCGGTTGGCCGTCCTTGCTCACGAAATCCTTCATCATTTCTTCTCGTTCGGTTCGGACTTCGGCGTCCTGGAAGGTTGAAGCTTGGGGAAGGTTCTGGTTTTTTCTTGACCGGTTTTATAGAACTTCTTAGGAAGAGATTTTCCCTCAATTCGCCCCTCTTCCCCAAAGTTCATTTTTCTGCGTTTCTCTAGCCTCTTTCCTTCTATTATTCCCCTCAGAACTCACCCGGATCATATCAACAGCCTCCGTAACCCCAGCGGCCTCGAAAACAAAGTTCATCCACTCTTCCTGGCCGGTATCAGCCATCAGCTTCAAAGCTTTCATCAACGACAATTTCCTCTCCAGCTCAGTTCCTTCACCGTGCATCGACAGTAGAGACGGGGAGAGTAATGAAATCTGAAAGTTTTTTTAGTGGAAGATTTGAGAATTATTCACCGTATCATTATTCTCATCGGGTAGGACACTCAGCAATCGTGGTGAAATCAGAGAAATGGTCTTCTCGTCGAAATCCGACGTGTTGTGGCCAGCCATCACCATTCCGAGCTTGACACCTGCAAAAAGTTCTTTCCCTTCGCGATTTGGATTTCTGCCAAAGAGTAGATAGATTTGTGATGGCTCGTACAGCCGTGGTAGCTTTGGAATGGATTCAACGTCTAGACTCGATTTCACGTCTGCTTCTCGATACTGTATAGGAAATGTCGGTTTAGGTCGGGCGCAACATAAAAGAGCCTCGACATGTTGAACCATTCCAAACGCGGCCCAATAATCGACGTGGCTTTCAGAGAGAAAAGCTCATGAGGCATTGCTGTTTCAAAGTCGCGACTTTTAAAATGCGGCCATCTTAAAGCGATTTACGCGCTATCATAAAACTCCCCAGATTTTTTTTCCAGTTTTTCGAACTGGCTAGAACATACGAACGTAAAATAGCTCAACGCGTCGCTTTTTGAAGGAAATGATTACAATTGCGATGCAGCCGACCTTGAAACGGCTTTCGCAGAGTGGAGATTCGACCATTCCAACGTTTCAACTCACGAAACGAGGTTTGGCGTCAGCATAATTTAATCATCTTGGTTATTTTTAGATTCAAAGCACTTTTTCATGATATCATGGTACGTGGAACTTTGGTCGTTTTTTTTTTTTGCAGCCGACCATAAACGACTTGCGCTCTGCATCAGTATACGCCAATAAGTGTAAGTAATTTTTTTCGATTATGAAAGTTCATCAAGTAAGCTTTTCAAAAAGTTGTTTTGAAAGTTATGCTTCCTACTTTTTCTATCAATTTGGCCTGTCTGCACCCTCATGATCTCTAAGAGGCGAGGGAAAAGAAGATATTCAAAAAATTCTAAAGTCACAGTGAAGAGAGTATAACATTTTGAAAAATACCTTCACGAATCAACTTTATCGGCTCGGCCATCATTTTCTGTTCCGGGGTCATGTTCTTGATCGCTTCTTTTCGATCCCTTAAAAGTTCCTCCTTTTCCGAAAGCACCGGGTCATCTTCCAAGACGTCTTCCATGCCCTAAAAATGCTTGGATTCTTAGGAATATTATATGATAACCATAGCGTTCATCGCATTTTTCGGGTTCAGTCCAGCGTTTTTCATGGTGTCGATGAATCGGGAGAATTTCTTTTTCAACATATCCTTGCTCTTTTTCTTCTTCTTGAGCCTCTCGCTTTCGCTTTTGATGTCTTGGATCACTTGTTGCCATCTGAAAAAATATTTCGAGGCTGAAAAAAGATACAAGTTTCCTGGACACAGGCAAAGTCCAAACGACCTTAAAAATGCCTTGAAAAGAAGCTCCTTTTTGAGATGCTGGAGGTGTCTTCGAATTTTTTTTTCCACCTTTTTTCCGCTTTCTTCTTTTTTACACCTCCGTGAAAGTTTCTTTTCAGAAAAAGGTCTAGAAAAAAAGGTGCCTTCGAGCCCTCATAAACGCCTTTTTTCCGAAAGTCCTTTTTGAGACATTTTGGATTCTGTGTACACCTCGGTTAATTTTTATCGATTTTTCCACCTTTTTCATTGATTTTTTTAGCTTTGAACATTTTGAAACGTTGATAAGAATAACGCGATTGAAAAAATAAAAAAATCGTAATTTTCGATGGAGCGCAATTTCCTTACTAAAACCAGCTAAAAACAAAAAAGTTCAAGTGTGCTCCAAGGATAATCTTATTAAACAAAAAAATTTTTCCGGATTTTTTTCTACTTTTTTTCCAAAATTTTTTTTGATATGTCTTTTTTTCAAAGTATTTTCTACGAACCGCAAATTTATCTCTGACCCTCCAGAGTTCAGTGATCTTTTTTTTTCTCGGACCGCTACCTTGGATTTCGCGGAACCACTTTGATCACGACATAAATTTTTTCAGCTTCTTTACCATTTTTCATCCAATTCTTCCCCGTTTCAAACCTTCCGAACTGACCTTTTCGGTGGTTGATCCGTCTTCTTGGCCGACCTCACCAAGCTGGTCAATCTCCTTGCAATCAGAGCCACCGGGGACAGATGCTTCTCCTCGATCAATTCGAATTGGTCTTGATTCCGGACTTTCGGACGGAAAAGGTTGCGAATATTCCTTTTGACACGGAAAGCCTGACTGGGTTCTTCATTTCTTGCCAACTGATCGAATTTCTTCATCATATGGTTGTACTTTCCCGAGTTCAAGTGCTCCTTTTTGTGTCGTTGTACTGAAAACATTTATAATTTTTCATTGTGATCAATACTTGTTTGAAATGCTCTGGTACCGATGTTCAACCCCTCCCCCCTATTCACGTATTTTCGGTGTACCCGACCCAAAACTACTTGCGCTCGACACTATCTTGTAGCATTCTTACTCTCACCAGGGAACGGTCTCAGCTTTAAGTGGGACTTCTGAATGAGATCAGGTAACTAGACGTAGTTTTTCGCGTTGATTCCAAGTCCGGTCTCAAAAGCTGCGACCGAGGTCTGTGAAAAAAGTTTTGAACCCTCAAAAGTACCGGATTTGGAATCAGCTTGAAAACTACACCTAGTCTCCTTCAGAAGTCCCACTGTGAGCTGAGATCACTCCCTGGTCGCAAAAGCACCGAAATTGATCATTCTTTGAAATAACGCAGCGCGATCCATTCCAAAGCCTTTCAAGTTGCTTTTTTTCTCTCAAAAACTCACGGAAAAATCGCATGTCGCTGTACATTTTCAGTTTCTGATCGCGATCCTGGACCTTGTCCAAAATGGTCACGACGCATTTTGCATGGGAGGTGACTGATTTTGCTGATTTCGTGCAGTTTCTATGGCGTCGTTTGTCTTCTTTGTTGAGTTTGTTGGCGTTGATCCTGAAGTTTTGATTCTTCAGAAACGAATTTAGGAGTTTTTCGATTTTTTCTCAGAATAATGGTGAAAAATCAAAAGTTTCGTGTCAGAAGAGACAATAGAGGGGAAGAAAGGAGAGAGAGAGATAGGTAGTTTAGAATAGACGACAGAGAAAACAGAAACTTTGTCTTCTCTGGCGTCTCTTCAGGCCGCCGTAGATCTCTCAAATCTGCCTAGTTTCACAAATTTTGTCGGTTGGAAGTTTCAGATGGAAGACCACGTTCCAGTCCAAGGACAACAAGCAAAGTTTCAGTCCTAAGCTTGGAAACTCGAAATGAGAAACTAGTCTGTTCAGATTCTAAATGTCAACTCCTCGCTCAAGCTCCGCCCCCTAATGGCGCGATAAACCAATCAGAGAGCGAGCCATCCACAGAGCGTTTTCGAATGACGTCATTCTACTTGACATTCAAAATCTGAACGGACTATAAATCCCTTCGAAACAGAAACTAATGATTATGAATCCCTCACTTGTGAGTGACAACCGCAGCCATCAGACCAGAAATGCCCTGGTCGAGCCAATGTTGGTGCAGCTCAAAGCCGGCCTCAGAAGATATAGTGATAACTGTCTTGTTTCCATCATTGACAGCCTGGTTGATCTTCGGATGATCGTCGTCGTCAGGGACGTCGGCGACGTCTTCGTCTCGGATTATGAAGTCCAACGACTGTAATAATTTTTTAGAAAACCCTTTGGACGGTATTCAACAGCTATGAGCATTGTTTCTTCCTTCGATTAAACGACGTGAAATTTGAATTATTTTTAACTTGGAATCTAACCTGAAAGCTCTCTTCGATACGTTAAAAAACAGAATTCTTCTAATTTTCAAGGAAAAAACTGACCTCATTATTTTGCTTCTTCATCTCATCGACCGCTGTCATGTTGATGAATGGAGCGAAGTCAGTCGGGAATATTCCCACTTTTCAATTCCTCGATCAGTCCCCGTTTCGTTTCATTTTTATTCATCGGTTTCGAAGTCGTGAATTCGATTTGAGCGACATTTTCGCCCCACGGAAACTTTGACATGAATGAATCGAATGCCGCTCCTTTTTCTCCTTTTTCTTCCGCTTGAGCTGGTTTTTGGAGAAGTTCTGAAAGACTCTGATTAACTGATATCTTGTTTGTCAGATAGTTTTGATTAATTTGATGACTTTCCAGTTGGAATAAAGTTTTTAAAAATTGTTTTTTAAAATTTGAATAGCGCCGCTAGCGACACATAAGTTTAGTAAAAATCCTGAAAAAGAGTTTTTTTCCTTGAATTTTTGAAGGATATTTTTTTGCTCGAAAAATTCTTGTACCAAGTTTCAATTGACCGGAAATAACATTGAAAAAAATCATTTCCCTTGTGAAATTCTAGTTCGAATTTATTAAAATCGGAAAAATTCAGTCAAAATAGTTTCTCAGGTTGGTCAAAGGCGCAGATGTCTCTCATCAACTGAAAACGGTTTTTCGCTTCGAGACCTACATGAATTCTTCCAATGCTCTTTCAAAAGCCCCAGCAAGCTGTTCAGTTCCAGTACCAGTTGAGGTACGAATTTGGGGATTTTTTTTGAACGAAAAACCTGCAGATTACGGCTGAGAATCTGAGTTTTTTGGTTGAATCTCGAGGAATTATTCATTCATAGACCTGAATCCAGCTTAACTTTAACTTTGTTTTGTTGTAGTCCTACGAAATTGAGATCAATTTATCCCATTTACTTTTTTTTTTAAACCCCGAACAAAACAGAAGTCAGCGGTAAGTGCGTAACTTTTCCGAACTTCAGGAAGTCATTTCAGCAGGTAAAAAGTCGAAACTCTTTTTGAGGTGACTAAAAACTTGAAAAGGAAAAAAAAATTCAGGTCTTTATTATCAAAGGTGTGGAAAAAAACAATGAAAAAAAGTTGAGGTTTCAAATTATATTTTTTTCCGACTTTTCTTTTTCTGTTGATACGGTTTTTTTCTCGGATTTCTAAAGGTTCGGACCACTAAGAAAAAAATTCCAAGTTTCAGAATACTGATTAAATTTTTCTTTCTATCTATTTTCGTTCAATCCCGGCAGGAATTTTTATTTTTTTCGTATTTTTTTCATTTCAGTAAAAAAATTTAAGCTATATACAGTACCGCTCAAAAAGTCTATTAAGTTTTTGGTTTTTTTGGGGATATCTCAGCGAGTACTTATCCGATTTATATATAACTTTCAGGGATAATGTAAAATATACTTTGAAACATATACGGTATACAAAGACATGTCCGCAATGACTGTGACGCGTTTTAGGCATTTTTTTTATTGAATTCCATTTTTGTTTTTTTATGCTTTTTATTTTTTTATTAAATTTTTTTAAAAATTAATAATGTTGCCATATGATTTTTTTCATGTTTTTCAGACATGGGAAGAACCTTTGAAAATAAGAATTTGACTGATAACGGCAAAAGAGCCATCGTTGTGAGTCGTCAAAATGGACTGACCATGATGACGTTGGCAGGAATGTTCGGCGTGACAGAGGCGGGCATTTCTCAGTTCCTAAAGCGTCAGAAAGCTCAAGATGGCTCTACTAACAGCCAACGCACTGGAAGACCACGTGTCACTGATCGTAATGACGATAGGAACATTTTGAAGACGTCTAGAACCAATCCAAGACTCACCGCCCCTGCGATCAGACGGGAAGTTTTCTTGAATTCGTCATCTCCGCCATCCGTCTCGACCGTGAAACGACGTCTGAATGCTGCTGGAATCATGGGAAGACGTCCAGTGAAGAAACCGCTGATTTCTGAAAAGAATCGAGCCGCCAGGGTGAAGTGGGCGAAGGAGCATCTCAACTGGACCCGTCAAGACTGGAACAAGATTCTGTGGTCCGACGAAAGCAAGTTCCTCCTCTTCGGGAGTGACGGAATTCAGTGGGTTCGTAGACCAATTGGGTCCAGATAGCATCCGAAATACCAATTACCCACCGTGAAACATGGTGGAGGTTCTTGCATGGTGTGGGGCGCCTTCTCTGGAAGTGGCATCGGGCCGCTTCATCGCGTGAACGGCATCATGGACAAGCACGTCTACAAAGACATTCTCCAGAACCAGATGTTGCCGCACTTGAGAGCCATGGGCCGTGGGAGTGTTTATCAACAGGATAACGATCCCAAGCACACTTCACTGTTCGTCAAGGTGAGAAAAATTGACAAGTAATTCGTATGGTTTTGAAACTCAGGACTGGTTCAAGAGCCGTCGGGTCAATGTCATGGGGTGGCCAAGTCAATCTCCGGACCTGAACCCGATCGAACATCTCTGGGAAGAGTTGGAGCGACGTTGTGCCAACAAAAGAGCCAAGAATTGCAACGAGAAGTTTGCTCAACTGCTGTCTGAATGGAATCAGATCCCCATGTCTACCATCGACACTTTGCTCAATTCTATGCAGAGAAGATGCCAGGCAGTGATTGACGCCAGGGGCTTCGCAACCAAGTACTAGGTCCCGAATATTGTTTTTAACAATGTTTTGTGTTGATAAAAAAATTTTTTTTGTTGAGCTATGATTTTTTTTAATTGAAAAATAGCAAAAAAATTCGATTTTTTTCGAAAAATTCGTTTTTTTCTCGAAAAAAATTATTATTTTTTTGAGCTAGCAACTTGAAATTTTGCCAGAACACGTATGTCTCTCTCAGAAAACTATGATTTGAATCGATATCGCATTTCAAAAAAATTTATCCCCAAAAAAACCAAAACTTAATAGACTTTTTGAGCGGTACTGTAGTCTTGATTAAACTCACTTCTATTTTATTTCTGTTCAGACCTAACAGAAATAAGGTCAGAAAATTATTAAATAAATAAAAAAACGAACCTCCATCTCCCAGGCTGGAAATCCAGAGTAGAAATAATAATAACCGCATTCTCAAGACGAGAAAATCGAGAAGACTGAAAAAAAATTGGGTGAAAGTTTACCTTATTCTGATGGGCGGTGAAAACTCGACATTAGGTAAACATTAGGTAAATTGAGTCTCGACCTTAATTTCCTCTTCGTTTACTTACCTGTAACCAACTTTCCCCTCTTTCCTGTTTCTCTGCTGCTTTTTCAGAGAAGTTTTTGAGGTCAATAGGTGATTTCAATGGAATAATCAAACTAATTCTTGTAAATAAAAAGCAATCTGGAAAAGATTCGAGGTATAGTATGGTTCAGAAGTAATCTAAAAAAAGTTGAAAAAAATTTTCCTTCATTCCTTTTTGATCCCCTAGAGAGTTTATTTTCATTGAACTGTCCATTTTGGGATTGAACTGAGTTTTCAAATGCTTTTTAAACACCCGCAGTTTTTTCTTTTGCTTTAGAAAATGATCTTTTTTGTATCCATCAGGTTTTTTTAAAGTAAAAACAGCTTTATGTACAACAATAAGAACGAATATATAATCTCAAATATCATATGGTTCTATATCTGAACAAGAGAAAAGATAAAATTAATCCCGAAGCGAAAATGAAGCTTGACGCGACGACGGCCAGATAATAAGCGAATCCCAAAAAAACCATTTGCGGAGGGTTGGTTTTTGCTGAAAATTTCAATTGACAATATAGGAAATTTTCAAAACTGATTTTTAAAGGCGCATGTCCGGGTTTAAAAAATGGTCTCGAGGGTGAAAACCGTTTTTAATCGAAATTGTTCTTATGCGCCTTTAAAAGGGTCAGCAAATACATTAACGAGATGAATGTCGAACCCACCCAAAGTCCTGTAATTATAACTGAAAACGAAATAAGTCTCGAAAAGTAGGACGAAATTGATGGAATTGAAGGCCCAGGATCTGGTTATCAAGGTCTCGCCAAATGGGTCCAGTTCTTCTCCTTTGTTTCGGACTCTGAATTTTGGATTTATAGTACCTCCTTGTACATTATTATGTTATTAAACCATTGAGAATCTTCGATCAATAGTCAAAAAATCAATTTCAAAACAACCAAATTGAGATTTTTTTTCTTGATTGGACATCGTACATGCTCCTGATCCTACAGTGACCACTTTAGTAGCGTCAGCGCTCTTAAGTGACCCCTAGAATCGTCCAGAAACGTCCGAGTTGATAATGTCCCTTTCCACGGGGCGAAAAGTACCTTTTGATTGAAAGTTGAGTTTTTTTTTCATTTGCTGGAAAATTTGAACTTCTAGTGTTAGTTTTCCAAAAAAAAATCTCCTTCTCGATTCAATTCTAATTTTTCGTTGGGGCGCAAAAATTCCTGTAGCTGAGGCTCATTTTTCTCACTTTATTTTGAATTTTTTCTCCTTTTTAGTTCACTTCTGATCACACTCTAGCCAATTTCAACCCACTGGCGGAAATGAATCACGTTTCGTCATTCGGATCAAAAAATGAAAAACTGATAAGATTGCAACAAACATCATGACGACGACGTCTCGTGTGACCGTTATGCAGAGCGGGAAGCACATGTAAACGCTGTAGATGATGATAGTGTACCAGAAACTGTCCTTCTGAAGGTTTGATGGTTCAAAAGAAAAATTTCGATAGTCCATGAAAAAGATGACTCCGGACGTTTCTGACGATTTTAGGGATCACTTAAGAGTGTTGAAGCTACTAAAGCGGTCCCTAGAAACGCCCAGAAAGTTCCGGAGCACGTCCGTTTTGTGTTAGGAAAATTTTTTTTTGTTTTGCCCATAGAGCAACTTTACTGCAGATTTTTGGTGGGAGTAAAATTTTTTTTTTTTGGACTTTTAACTATTTTTCTCAAGAACTATAAACTTCTGTAGTTTTATTTTCGAATATTTTGTTCCATACACGATGAAGAGCTCTAGGAAATGACAAATTTATCTAAAAAGCTATTATTTATGGTGAGAGAAGCTTTCGAATATTCAGAAAAAAATTTTTTTATTGAAAATGAGGAATTTTTTTATAAATTATAGGAGAATGGCCGGTGGACCTTAATTTTTCTTAAGTTGAATGCAATTTTCATATTTTCTTAAAACTTTATTCAAAATTGAGAATTTTCATGCACTTTGAAAGAGCAACTAGATGTTCTGCACAGCGTAAAGCCGTCTGGTTTCTTTGCGACTCCTCGTTTTTTGTTTTCTTTTCCGACATTTCTCTGATCAACAAAGAGAGAAAAGAGAGCGCAGACTAGTCAGATTGTTTCGCATCGTGAATGAAGTAAAACGGAAAAAATACCCCTTGATTCGGACGGACGCCGTAGCGTTTGATGATGTCGGTGTCTTCATAAACGTAGGCCCAGTCTGAAAAAGTTGATTTTTGCAGCTCTAAATTTGTTGTAGTGAATCTAGAATTTAAAAAAACACAGTGTTCCCAAACGAGCGGCAGCTGTGGTCAGTAAGCGTGGCTGACTGCAACAGCGGCACGGTTTATTGCAATAGGGGCGCGGGAATGAGAGTCAAGTTTTGTGGATTTAGTGGTTGGAAAAAGACCATTAAATGATGTTTTTTTCCTAGGTTCTCGCGAGTTTTCGAAGATTTTTTTAATGTGTATATAATTATAACGAACAAATTTAAATGAAAAAAAGAGACGAAAAAAATTTTTGCAAAACAAAATATCTCCCAAAATATCGTTTTTTTAGGAAAAACTCGTCAAATCGAACTTCCAAAGGGAAAAATTGAGAAAAAAAGCTCACAGCACTTCTCTTAAGAAATACCACTTGAACGTTTTAAAAACAAAAAAACAGATGCATAATAGCTTGTACGAATAAAGTTGTCACCCAAAAATGACATTTTCAAGAATAAATTCGTCGAATACTGCCTCGAAAAAAATTTTTGAGAAAAAAATCTCACGGCGTTTCTCTTAAGAAAGTCCATTTGAAAAATTCTAAAACAAAAAAACAAACGAAATATCTTATGCGAAATAAGTTGTCATCAAAAAAATGTCCTTTTAATGCAAATTTCTGTGACGAGAACAATCGAAAAATCACTTCAAATCTCTGGAAAAACGCGATAAACACGTTTTAAGAACACATACAGCGTGAAAAAATACGAAAGAATGGTAAAATACGCAAGAAAAAGAGAAAAAACCGTATTAAAAGTGAATGAAATTTTGTGGGGGTGACACGCGCCGCACCGCGTTGCGTTAGAAAAAACTCGCGTTTTCGCCCCATTGCGACGACCTTTTTTTTTGGCTTGCCGCCGTCTCTTTTGGAACACTGTGAAAAGGAGACTGAAAAAGACAAACCTGAAGAGAAAATTGAAGTCAAAAGTAGAAACGTAGCGATTAACGATGCCGCTAGGGATATGCACAACAGAATCCTGAAAAAATGTAGTTTTTCTAAATTTAACATTTTTTCTTTTTTCTTTCTTTTCAAATAAAATTCCTTTGAAGCCTTTCATGACCCAATGAACACTCTAAAGGCCCTCCGCCTCGAGACCTTTTTAAAATTTATCCATGCTCCTTTAAACTGTTCGCTATTTTTTGTCTTCAAGTTTCTTTAAACACTAGAAATAATCTTCGATTATAAATTACAAAGTCACTTGGTTCTAGAAGACTGAAGGGAAGCATTAGTTTGAGGTTTCCTTTTGATTCCTTGTAAGACGCGGACGCTCAAAAAGTAAATTATAACCACGGCGCTCCCGCAAAAAGAGGCGGCTATGACGGCCAAAATCGTTGGGGCCTAAACTTGTTATTTTTATTTCAATTTTTTCTTCTGAAAGATTCAATTTTTGTCGAAAAATTTTTTTATTTTAAGTTATGCACTGAGAGAAATATTACTGCCAAGGTTCAAAAACGTTTTGCGAGGACATTTTACTTTGCGGTTGGGAATTTCCTGAAAATCGGTCAGAAAACTTCTTTATGTACCAGAAAAAGAATCTAAAAGTCTCGACTTGCACAATTAAATATTTTCAGAAAAATGACACCTTGAAGTCGAAGAAAACGCTGAAAACCCATTAAAATAGGCCATTTTGCTTTGAACCTTTATTTTTCAAAAACCGAAAAAATAGGGCTAGTTGAAACTTTCAGATTATCTTTCTGGTACAACGAAGAATGTTCTGGCAAAGTTTCAGGAATTTTCCAACCGCAGAGTAAAATGACTTCCTTGTTAATAAGCTCAAAAAAAAAAAAATTTTTTTTCGAAATTTTTCTGCTTCAATAACGAAGGGATCAATATCTGCCTGAAGAGACACCAGAAAAAAAAAATTTCATTTCTCTGGCGTTTCTTCAAGTCTTCTGATCTTTTGCTCCTGGTTTTTTTTTAACTTTATTGAGAACACTATAATTGAAAAAAGTTTTATAGTGAGGAGATTCGAATTTTTCAAGATTTCCCGTTTTTTCTCATAAATAAATTTTTTCCTGTTGGTTTAATAAAAAAAAAAACTCACGATATCCGTCGCCATGACCCCTGAAATTTTAAACAGTTAGAATTTGATCTTTATAAAGTCCTTACCATTACAAAAGAAGGTAATAAGCACAGCAATAGCACAAATAATCTCTATAATTATTGAAACGGAACATTCCGCCAGAAACCAGTACAACTCCCAAGATGGACTCATTCCAATGTAGGATCTGAAGAAAGTCATTTTTCAGAGGGTAGCGAGAATATTACCAAACTGCATTCGGACCATATCCACCAGCGAAATTACTGAGAAACATTGGACGTAGGAGATCAAGAAGGAGTACAGGGATTCTCCCTGCAAAAGGGATTTTTTTAGATGTCATTATAAATATTTTAGAGAAAAAATCCAGGCTTCGAACAAACCCATAAGCTTTTATAAATGAACTTCTAAAAAGAAAAAATGAATTTGATCAACTTTGAGCCGAAAATGTCTTTCAAAAATCAAAATCGGGCAAGTTTGAAGTGATCTATTAGTACTACGATATCGATTCAGTGTTTGCAGACTTGATGAAAATTTTTTTCCTCCATTATATTTTTCGATACTGTTGTAAAAGCATTTTGAAGAACACAGAGATATTAAATATTCAAAAAAAAATAGAAAAAGATTAAACTCACATGAGCTCCTTCTGGGTCAGGAACCATTGCTGAAAAAAATAATTTTTTTTAGTTTCCACAAAAAAACAAATAGTATAATTTTTTTGTCACAACTTGGCATGATCTTACTTGTCTGCGCTCTCTTCTCTCTCATTTTCTCACGAGGGGCGAGAGAGAAGAGAGCGCATATATATTCATCCTTCACAACTTGAAACTGACACGTCAGACTGTTTTAAGTCGTAGCGAATGATTATTGGTTGAAGTTCACAAATCATAGAAAAAATGAGGAAGAACTTCAAAATATAATTCATCCTTCACAACTTGAAACTGCCTATCTTCTCTGCTTTCTCGTTTCGACATGCTCTTTTCCAATTTTCTTGACCTTGAAGGTGAGAGATCAGAGAGCGCAGACAGGCTAGATCAAGTTTGTTTTCAAAGAACTGAGAGTACTTAATGAATTTACATGAGCTCTCAAAAATCTTAAAATGAAGAGATAACGAGAAAAAAGAACTCACCATTGACCAAATTGCCAAGGAAGGCAGAAAAAACGCCGGCCGCCACTAAACCCAGGGCGATCCAACCTTTTTTCCTTTTTGGGGTACATGAATATCCGCAGAGGCCACAGAAGCAACAGGTGCACGGCTTTTGGGCAGGAACGTTATAGCAATCTTCGTCGTCGTCGCTGATCGATAAAATCATTCCGATCCGACTGCTCCTTTATCAGCAACACATGTTGGGAAATGACGGTTTCTGTTGATTTTGGAATTATTTCACGAATTGTCATTTCATTAAAGGGGTTAGGAAGGTCTTGGCTTTTTTTGGAAACCTAGGGAAGTTCATGCATGAGGTTCTCATGAGCTCATGAAAAATGAGCCGCGAGAACATGATAATTCTTGCTCCACGGATAATACTTGCAAACTTCACTCTCTTTAGATTTTCTTTGGAGAGCAACAAGAAGTTGAAAAGACTCGAATTCAAATCTATGAAAAGATATTTTCTGATGGAAAAAAGAACATATCTGGGAAAATTTTTAGTGGCCACTATAGGGTTTTGACGTTTTAAGGGCCTCTATAGTAGTCAAATTAGTGACCACTTGAGCGGTTGAAAGTTAGTGGCCACTATAGAAGTCTAAGTGCTATTACTAAACCACTAAAAATTTTAGTGGCCACTCTAGGGGTCAATGTATCAACATAACTGGTCCAATCTGTTTGTTTTAAAATTATCAGAATTACTGGAAGGAAAACTGGATGAAAAACTACTGAAGTGGCCACTAAAACGGAAAATATTGGCCACTATAGTGTCCTCTCCAAGTGGTCCTCGGCGAGCCTTTATAGAGGCCACTAAAAATCTTCCCAGTACCTCAAAATATTGGGAATAAGTAGACTCTAAGAAATCTTGTGTGAATTGGCTTTGGAAAACGGATTTTTTGGCGATCTACATATTTGGATAAGGTTGTTTTAGGCAGCTTTTTATTGTATGTCAAAATATGACCTTCTTAGGGACTCTTGAGTGGTTCCTATAGGGGCAACCTCCGGTTTTTTTGAAGGTTCACCACTCGGGATCTTTTTACCTCCAACTTCAGGGGACACTAAAGCTTGCAAAAGTGGCCCCTATAGGGGAAATGCTAGTCGATTTTCGTTATGAACTCAATATGAAAAAGCATTCCTTCCTTCCAAGGTCCTTCCGAATTTCCACAATTTGTGAAGTGAATCCCTGGATTTTCTTGTCATTTTCCACTCTATTTCAAGCTATTTTTGAGTCAAATCCGCTGTACAACATCAGGAGAACACCCAAGTCGGAATGCGAGACACACGTCAGCCCCCATTTATGGCCAATTTGTCGTTGGTCAACGTGTTTTTTGCCCCCCATTAATGAATAATTTGTGAGCGGCCTTGTTCCAAAGCTTTTTCTGGACAAAAATCTGCACCTTGCCGATTTTTTCGTTCAGTACGATGCTCCTAGGTTTTGAGGAAGACATTTTTTCATTGCTTTTTGGAGTCATTTTTCTAAATTTCTTAAATTTCAGAGTTTTTTTTTTCTTGGGACTATGCTCCAAATAACGCAAAAAATTTTTCGATTTTTCTAGTTTAAGGTTTTTCAGAATGACAGAATGATCGTAGGAGGGTATCGAAAGAGATGTCCGATTATGCGAAAATAATTTGAGTATGTTAAAAGACGAACGAAAATGTTCAAGGCTATTAAAGGACCATAGGACAATTTAAAAAACAAATTTTGACGAGAGTAGTTTTTCAACTGATAGCGTATGCTTCATTCGCCATTAATTTCAATAAAAAGCTCCTAATCCTGCAAAAATTTCTTAAGAAGCTCTCTCTTTCTAAAAAGCCCTCAAAACTAAAAAATAAATAAATGACTCGTTATTCAAGGGATCATTAGGACACATTGAAACGTGCTTTCGCATTCTCTGTGCCTTTAAACTCTGCTGAGAGCTCTGTGGAACAAACTAGAAACAGGAAAAATCATGTCTCGGAAGTAAATAGTTCAAGAACCAGTCTAAACTCTAAGAAGTTGTTCAAAAATACCAAAACATCTATATGATTTCTGCGCAGTGCCCTTTCTCAAGCTATTACTCGGCGGAATGTTCCTTAGCCGAGCACATTATGAAACATTCAGGTCGATTGGAACCCCTTCAAATAAACATCCAATACAACGTTTTTTTTTTCGCTTCTTTCGCGAAGAGCCTGGTGCGAAACTTGATGAGATTACCGCGGCCGCTTTCCCACCCAATAGCTCGTAAAATTGTTTGCAATCGCTTTTTTTTCTGCTCATTCAAAATGTGTATTTTTCCCTAGAGTTCAAAGATATCTCAAAATATCCACCATTTCGCACAGTTCCTAGTGTATTTTTCAAACAATTTTCAGTTCAAACCATACAGAAATAGCTCGAAAATGCCATATCCCTAAAATAAAATGCCCCCCGGGATGCTGTGAAGTCGCACTTTCACATTTTTTTTTTCGGCTTTCACATCGCCCGGCCTATAATCGCTTTAAAGTGCTCCCTCGAGAGTTGTGCGTGTTCTCAATCATTGCCTCCTATCTTTCCGGACCTCAAATACATCGTTTGCTGTTGAAACTATGACAAAGAACCGGAGGAAAAAAGAAAAATTCCAAAAAAAAAAACGGAGGGCATGTGTGCGCCATTGAGAATTCGCGCTCGATTTACGTAAATTTTTTTCCAAATTTTTGTTGTTTTAATTTTAATTATTCTAATTTTTTTATTTCATCAGTTTGTTCTCGGTTCATGAAGAAGATTTCAGGAAGTGGATAATTGAAATTGGAAACGGAAATTTTGTCAGATTCGGTTTTTGAATGATTTTTCATTGAAGTTTTTTTCGTTTTGCAAAAATTTTTTTGAACTTTGCGTTTTGTATCAAATTTTATATCATTTTTTTATATCTTTTGTATGAATTTTAAAACCTCATATCAAACTCGACGAGCAGGTTATTTTTTTTCATCAATAACTATCTTTTTTTGAAATAACATATCTGTCAAATAATATAATCCTTTCTTCTTTTAAAAAAAATTTCTCTTTATTCTGATGCGAGTTTTTTGACGCAAACTATAAGAACGTTTCAGGACGACTTTTTTTCTTCATTTCTGACTAAATTATTCTTGAAAAATTTGAGAAGAAGCGTTGAAACATTATTTGAAAGATTTTTCTTTATTTGTATTTCTTATCAACGATTTTTTTCATTGAGTACGTTTCTAGAAGTTTTTTTCATCATTATTATTTTTTTTACAGGAAGGTCTCGAAATGATTGTCAAATTGCCGTGTAGCCGTTCAGAAGACTGACGTCTTCCCGTTATTTCTGCCGTTCCCTTATAAAGTGAGCTTTGTTATTCTTGAAAGTGACTTTTTTTATGTTATAATTGAATTTTTTTATAGTCTCCACGTGCTGCTGGAATTTTAAATGCTGTCAAGTTTTTTTTAGCATATGAGAGAAGAAAAATGAACAAATTTTACGAAAGAAAAAAATAGTATATAAGGAGAAAAAAACAGTCTCTTTGATTGTATGCCTAAAGTAGATATTTTTTTCAAATCAAAAATCAGCTTTTTTCAATTTTTAATTTTTTTCCTAAACTTCAAGCTGCTCTTTTCTTATATTTCTCACCATTTTTTGCATTCTAAATAAAAAAATTTACAAACAAGTGCAGAAAGGAGCTTCACGCCGTTCAACAAATTAGATCTGGTAATTTCCTTGGCCCTCCCCGTTCATTCACGAATATTCAGCTTCTTTTCTCTATTTTTCTGGTCGTTCTGAATGTTTTTCAACGTTCAAAACGAGGTTAGCCGAGGTTTTCCCGGGACAAAACAACACATGAGGAAGGAATTTAGCGTCTTTAAGAGACCTTTTTCCCATAAATGTTGTTGTCGGAAGAAAAAAAAAGTTTCAAACCTAGAAAAGGGATATTTTTAAGTCATAACTTGTACAAAAAATTTCCCAAAACACTTGGATTTTTGCTGATTTTTTCAAAATTCCTAGAAAGGAAAAGAACAGTTTTAGTGTTTTTTTAAAACTTGAGCCCCTTGAAAAATGCGCCTTGAAGGAAATTTCTGTGGTTCCTCCTAAAAATAACATAAAACAGATACAAAACTATTTTTTTCGCGTGAGTTTATATCCTGGACTCACAAAAAAAGCGTCTTTTTCTTGATTTCTGGATAACTCCTTTTTGTACTATATTTTTTTAATGGCTCAAAAAAATCTCGAGAAAAACGCGCCCTACCGAGATAAAACTTTCAAATCTTACCTGGTTATCAGTAGGATCATTTTTTAGATTTCTAAAAAACTTGATTTTTTTTCCAGAACATTTTCTTTTTCGTATCCACCGTAGAACCTGCACATTCCCCTTTTTTCATAAAGAAAAAAATGTATTAGGAAGTGGAAGAATTTATATTTTTTTACCCTAATACTCCACCTGCACATCTAAATTTTCGAATGAAAAAAATACGAAATTTTCCCCAAAAATAAAATTGAACTTTTTACACTAAAAAAACTGAAAAAAACGGAAAAAAAGTCCCTTTTTACTTCTTTATATCGTAACACCCCGCCTGCACATCAAACTTTTTCGAAAAAGTTTTACGAAATTTCCCAAAAAAAAGATTCAATATCTAATAAAATTTTTTGCGCCTAAAAAAGGATTGAAAAAAACGAGAAAAATTCCTTTCTAAGACTTCATACCGTAATACCCCGCCTGCACATATAACCTTTTCAAATAAAGAATTTGAGACTTTTACCAAAAATCTTCCAATGCCCACTTGAACTTTTTTCGCGCTCGAAAAAGAACTAAAAACGAGGAAAAAAAAATTAAAATTCCAAAGGTTCTAAACCTAATAAACCTACGAAAGGACTCAATTTGGCGCATTTTTGGGAGGGAGGGAAGGAACCGCGGTGAATATGCATAACCGAATTTTCACCTCGTTCTTCATCCAATTTCTTTTTTTTCGGTTCGAAATTTCCTCCTAGTCTAGGCTGGAAACTGTTATATTCATGTCTATTTAAAAAAAAAAAAACATTTTGAGATTTGAAATTGTAGGTAAAAAGAATGAATTTGAGCTTTTTTCAGTTTATTATTAGGGAGCTTCATTTGATTTTTAGTAAGGATTTTATTGGATTTATGTTCAAAAAATAGTTTTTGAACTTTTCTGCCAACTGGTTCAAATTTCGAGCAGTATTTCGTGAC